TCTGTACGAAATTATGGTTGTTTCATTGAATTTCTTGAAAGCAGTTCGGATTTTTTGAAATATTCGAATATATAGTTTTTCAAAACTTAACCAACCTAATTTAATTTGAATTGAGCAATTTCTTTAGTGAAACAATTTGTATAAAATAAAAATCTATTGGTTTTCGGACTGTAGTTTAGGCATTAACATGTAAAACCTCATTTTCCTGCTTTTACTGACCTCCTTGATTTATTTTTTAGCACGGTGGCCTCCTGCTGGCCACCAGCATCAACAGCAACAACAGCCTCATCAAGTCCCAGCAGCGCCAGCAGCAAAACCTCGTCCAGGACAATCTGCTGATGGCCAAAATGGCGATCAAGAGCGAGAAACAGAACGCCAGCAGTGGCTCCGGCAAAACCCATGCCCATGGCTATGGAATCCCGCTAACGCCGCCATCCTCCCTGCCCAGCGACGATTCCGAAGGTAACTTAACACCGGAACACTTGTTTTCGCCCCTGTCGCCCAACGCTTCCGTTTCTATCTCCGTGGCCAATCCAGCCGGCGGAGAGTCAACCGTACGGGTCAGCCGCACCGCTGCCGGGATCACGCGATCGTCCTCCGGATCCACATCCGGATCCGGCTCCAGTTCCAGCACAACGGCCACCTCGACAAGGCAGCCGATCCACACGCCGCTGATTAGTTCGCAGCCGGTAAGTAGAACATATTAGGAACATGTCAATTAACTTCATTTCGTACTTCCTAATTCTTTAATAAAAAGGTATTTAAAAATGTAAGACATTTTTCCTTTCTTAAAAATTGGTTTGGAATTTAAATGCACAGTTTTAAAAAGATTATTCACCATTGTTAAATTAAAAAATAAAGATATACTTTTTGTTTTATGATTTTCTGTACACTTGTATAAAAGAAAAAAGAGGAGAAATTTGTTCTGCTCATACCATCTAATTATTAAAAAAGAACATTAAAAAATATTGATTTTCTTTAAAAATTGTTTTTGAATTGAAGTAAATAATTCTCAAAAAGTGTAATCACCATTATTAAACCGAAATACAAACATAAACTTGTATTTAATGGTTTTGTTTTGCACATACGAATATAAAAGAGATTATCACTTCGAATTTATTCTAAACGCTTGATAAACGTCAGATTACTCATAGGATGTGGAGTACATTTTGGGAATTGTTACTAAGTCACTTGGGCGATTTCGCAGGGCGATTTCATCACTCACTTATTCAAGACTCTTGCCTCATTAGACTTTCACTGGTATTTTGCAGAAGGGCTCCACTGGGACGCTGCTGCTGACGGAGGAGGAGAAACGCACTTTGCTGGCCGAAGGCTATCCGATACCGCAGAAGCTTCCCCTAACCAAAGCCGAGGAGAAATCGCTCAAGAAGATTCGACGCAAGATCAAGAATAAAGTACGTTAAACATTACAGTTTGGTCGTATGCGGTGCAGCATCAGCAGCTTCATCGTTTACAGCCAGCTTAAGGAACCAATCTAACTTTTTTGATTTCTTTTCAGATCTCTGCTCAGGAAAGCCGCCGGAAGAAGAAGGAGTACATGGACCAGCTGGAGAGGCGCGTCGAGATCCTGGTCACCGAGAACCACGACTACAAGAAGCGCCTGGAGGGGCTGGAGGAGACCAATGCCAATCTACTTAGTCAGCTGCACAAACTGCAGGCCCTAGTTAGCAAGCACAATGTGAAAAAGTCCTAAGGCCCCGGTTTGAGAGCCCCTGAAATACCAGGGGTTTCTGGAACCGGAACCGTTTCTTGTTTGCCCGCCTTCCCGAGTTATATTGTAGATCTATATGTGTACGTCTTCAGTTTTTTGTTTCGATTTAATCAGTAATCAGTCTGGGAGTTTTTCAAGAATTTATGTGACGATGAAATTTTAATGAATTTTCTGTTCGGCTTTTGGTTAGCACAAAGCGGTAAACATTCCCCTCCCTCCTGCTCCACCGCACCCCCAATATACTATATATTCCGCAAGGCCCTGATGCCTAGATGCCCATAACTAATACCGTATAATTAATGTGTATGTAATCCTAGCTACTTGTAGGACCTATATTATATAGCTATGTATATTAGTCATGCATTCCTGTTATATAAACTTGATCTAGAGCTTAGGCAAATGACCAGCTGCTACAACAACCACAATTACAATTACAATTACGATCGAGAAGCTCAAAAGCAGAAGCCAATCCAGAAAGCGTCTAAAGAGAAGCTAAATAATAATATTGTAATTAAACGAAATCAACAGACCAAAAACAAAAACATAAAAAAACAGCAAAGTAATGAAAAGATTTAAAAAAAGAAATGAATATAGCTGATCGCAAAACGGGCTCTAGTTAAACATCAAATCCAGATTGGAGACGATCTAAGAGCAGCGACATGTACATTATGTTTTAATAATGATTGAATGAATGAACGAAAGACTCCCGGAGCCCAATCTCTGTGCTGTCTTTGGCATGACTCTTGTTCCTTTAAACGATATTTCTCAAAACAAAAACGAAAGCTGAGACGATATAAAATACCTAAACAATTCCATAATGTAGCTATTTAGAAGGATTATATAACGAACTATGTCTATATGCAGCATTTAAGTTTCTCTTCACCATCTGTTTGCCAGCAGCCGTCAAGTTGGAGTCACAATAGATGGAAATCATACGAATTTATTTCGGGTATTCGTATCCGTATCCCCAATTCGGTTCCGTTCTCCACCTGCCGCGTTGCCTGGGCGATTTAAACAATTTCCGAGCCAATTTTGAAAATGAATTATTGTTTGTTAAGTTTTATATTATAAGACGGCGGCTGCCCCGACCGAAGGAGCAGAACCCAATTCAATCTAAATTCGCAGCAATTATTTTGTTTTTTATGTTTACCATTTGAGTTTTACGTGTTAGTGCAATTTTTTGGCATAAATATTTATACCGATATCTTTGTATTCTTTCCGCGGCGATCTGAATGAGTCATTCTAGTTTAAATTAGTTGAATTTATATAAACAAAATTACTTAACGAAAATTTTAAGCGTAACACGATGATTTCTTATCAAATCAATAATATCTATACAAAATAATTTAGCTATTTTTATGTATGTCTGTGCATGTGTGTATAAATCAAGCGGACGAAGTTGTGCAATTGTTAGTAAAATTTTACATGAAGGATATTTAGTAAAAATACGAAAATTAAAAATCAAAGTTGAAAACGAAACGCTCGTGCAATGACAAAACTTTTTATTAAAACGCGTTAAACAAGCTAATTGAAAACAACATGAAAAATACATTATATTTATATATGCTAGTATGAATAATGTACGACTATATACTATTTTTTGGCTATAGCATTTTAAACGCATATATTGTATGTTTAACGTTGAAAGGAAAAAACAAAACAAGAAAATAAATCCAAAAAAATTGTAAAACTTTTATGATTGGTTGCTGTAATTTGGCAAAAGTAAAAGTGCAATTCCAAATAAAATTCATACAACCATAACAGCAGCACTGTGCAAGTTTTATTTTAGTTTTTAGAAAATCCCATTTATTATCTTTTAATGTTAAATCTTTTTATTAAGGAACATTCAGAAACTCTATATTGGAAAATTATTAGTATGGTCCAAGTGTTAAGTGTAAGTAACACGGTTGGGGTATTTCGCAGTCAGTTGAGCTGCCGAATGGATTAATTATAACCGTTACTCGTAGAGTATACTTTATTATATTTATATTTATACTTTATTGGTCAGAAAGTATGTAACAGGTAGAAGGAAGCGTTTCCGACCCTATAACGTATATATATTCTTCATCAGGATCACTAGCCGGGCCGATCTTTCCATGCCCGTATATCCGTCTGTCCGTCCGTATGAACGCTGTGATCTTGGAAACTATAAAAGCTAGAAATTTTAGTTTCTTTCAGCAGGAAGCCTTGCCCAAACTAACGCCCAGAAACGACTATAACACCGTTTATATTTTGTAAAAATGTAATCGAGAGTTTGTTTATATTATCAATACCTATCTGCACGCCAAATATTATTGAAATCAGACCAGTCATTAAAAAGTTATAATGAAATAATAATCAATGTTTTGCAATTCAATAGAGATTTCACACCACATGCAGCCAACTAGCTGTTTGCACTAATACGCCGCCAAACCGCTAGGGGCGCTATGGCCTCTGTAGGCCAAGTGGGGCTATAGAAGAAGAAGATAGGTGGCGCTCTAGGCTAGATGTGTTAGTGAAAAAAGCAAAGTTGCTTTAAGAATAGATATCTCCATCTTTCTCGCACTCCCTTAAGCTGAGTAACGGGTATCTAATAGTCGAGGCCATCGACTACAGCGGTTTCTCTTGTTTTGGTTAATTTTGGATGTGCTTATACACAGTTACTAGAAAGGGAAATATTTCAGAAACTTTAGAAAGTTGTGACATAGAAATCCATAGCAACATTTTAGTATAGTCAAAGAGCAGTATTTACTCACTTTACTTTACTTTACTTTATTTATTTGTAGTTCTTATAATCTTATGAATATTTTTTGGCATTAACTTAAAGAGAAAAATGACTTCCCGAAAGTTTAAAAACATGTAACATCTGTTTGATAATTAAACTGAATGTATTGCTGAAGTTTTCATGTAGAAGTTTCAACAAGAAACATCAGTAACCTTAGGAAAATGCTTCGATGAGTATAAAATTTGTTTTTGAAAAGGTAATTACCTCAGAAGTTATAGGAAACTCTTCAGTCAGTATTAACACTTTTCCATTTTAAGAATTTAAAATCCATAGTAGAAATTTTGTTGCACAACTGTATGTTTTAAAAATTATTGTTTATTGCCATTTTGACCACAGAAATTGAAAAGAAGAAGAATGCATCAGGGTACAGTAATACAGTTTGTTTTATTTTCAGATAAACATTAAAAGGGATTCAAAATAAATGATTTCACCTATTCCACTACGCGCCCACTCGATAACTGAGGTCCGATAAGCGATAAGTAAAACACAACATTTCCATAACAGCTGTTCTAATCGGCCAGCCCATCACTAAGTGAGACCGTACTCAACGTGCAACAACGCAAATTGCTCCAGAAATTTACTGAAAGAAATAACTTCTAACAATCTAACAAACTCCAAAATGGGAAAGAAAAACAGTGAGTGCCCCTGCAGACCTGAGGAAATAATCATAACTATACTTCCAATTACCAATTACTATCACAGAATTCAAGCCAGAGGAGCCGAAGCCCGCAGCTCCTGCACCAGCACAACAACAACAACAAAGTAAGTTCACTTTACTGCAATTTGACAGCGTAGGCAAAAGAATGTACTCGATTTGCCACACATATAACTCGCATATGTATATACATACTCGTAGTTTCGGGCGAGGGGTTTTTACAAGGGGTCCATCGGGTCGAATGCTCGAGAAGTTTTCTATTTCACGGGGAACCACCACATTCAATGCACCTGTGATGAAATTAAGTGGGCGTGATTGTATTGGTGCAAAACTGATAACTTGATTGACTGACAGTTGAGTAAAGTTTAAGAAAATGTTAAGGGAATCTACTACCTACACCTCCACCACACTATACCTGACCTGAAAAGAAATTCTTTAGGGTTTTTATAAACAATTAATCTTTAAAATAATATTTATTATTATTTCCGATCACAAAAACGGTTGTACCTCTGTTACCTCATCGCATTACCCGATGATTTGTTTAAAAATGTACTAGTTTAGCAAAACTAAAACCGTAGTAATTTCTACCTTAAATACGTCGATAATCGTTCAACAATCTATGTAGGTACAATCTACAATTTTCGAGGAGTTTTGTTTTTATGGTCTGTGCGGTCCACTTTATACAATTTAGCTTATTGTTTTGATCCTTTGCTGGGCTTTCATACTGATTTGTCTTGGATCATAGTCCTCGTGTAACCACCAATGCAAATTTATTCGGTAGTTTTCATATTTTCTGAGATTTTAAAGGAAACATTTTGATCCATCATCGATTTGATTAAGAGCCCTTAGGGGGACCTTACAAAAAAGTCTTTTTTATCCAAGACGGAAGCTCCAAGCTACAAGTTAAGGAAAAGAACGTCAAATTATGTACGAGCTCGTATTTTTAATGAAAGTTTCCCCATACATTTATTTTGCACAGAAACTAAGCATTTGAAATTTGTATTGTATCAGTCATAAAATAAAAAGTTGTGCAAGTTGAGCTTCGCACATATTGTAGAAAAAATACTTTAAAACGCTAATATGAATCTACTACCCACAAAAAATCAATTGGTAAAATTGACCATTATTATAGTAAAGTGGTCCCCAACCATTGAATTGTCAATTTTACTTAGTTACTCTTACGTAACTAACGTCAGGGTTGCTTTAAAAATAGGTGAAATGGACCCAACCCATGGATTGTAGTTAAATAACTATTTCTATAGTTATCTAACCCATAACATAAAGTTAAGTTAATTTTTTTTATAGTAAATATATACATATAAAATTTATTAAAATTTTTTTTCTAGCATGAAAATTGTGGGCGGCACAGGTTTGGGAGGTTTGTGAGCGTTAGAGTGGGCGTGGTATATTCGCGCAACAAACTTGCGCTGCGTACAAGACTACGGAATCTGAACCTGAAATCCCAATTCTCTATCTTTGATAGTTTCCGAGATATCTGCGTTTATATTTACGATTTTTTTTTCAGTTTTTGGGCGTTGCATACTTTTTTTGGGTCATTCAATTGGTATTAATGAGAACACTACATTTCCGTTAAAATTTGTATTCCAGCATTAAAGCTGTAGTAGCCACAGTTTTGGGCGGTTTGTGGGCGTTAGAATGGGCTTGGCACACTGACGAAACAAACTTGTGGTGCGTAGGAATCTGTAGAGTCTGCATGCCTAATCCCAGCAGCTTTTATAGATTCCGAGATCGCTTCCGTCTACAATATGACCTTTTACTTTAAGAGTAACGGGCTTAAAAAAATAGCTGCAGCTTGCCAAAAGTAGCTACCTTTCTGGTTTTTCTTGAAATTTTAAATCTTTTGCTTTAAAATTAATCCATGATCTATGATATTAAAGCGAAACGTTAGGCACTATATTTTTTAAACATACATTCTAAATATACTTACTACTATTTTAAACCAAGGTGCAGCACAACAGGCAGCACCCCGGGCATCCACCAGTTCCGGAGCATCTGGATCTGGTGGCCAACAGGGCGGTGGAGGATGGCAGAAGCAGGGCGGACAAGGAGGACAGGCAGGCCAATCATGGGGCAGTCAGCAAAAACAATCCCAGGGACAGCAATCCCGTCCGCCACTTCAGCAACAGAGGGCTCCAGGTGGCAACCAGCAAGGACAACAGGGACAGGGAGGACAAGGTGGCTACCAGCAAGGACAACAGGGACAGGGAGGACAAGGTGGCTACCAGCAAGGACAACAGGGACAGGGAGGACAAGGTGGCTACCAGCAGCGTCAGCAAGGACAAGGTGGCTACCCGCAACGTCCTCAAGGACAACAGGGACAGGGCGGACCAGGTGGCTACCAGCAAGGACAACAGGGACAGGGAGGACAAGGTGGCTACCAGCAGCGTCAACAAGGACAAGGTGGCTACCAGCAAGGACAACAGGGACAGGGAGGACAAGGTGGCTACCAGCAGCGTCAGCAAGGACAAGGTGGCTACCCGCAACGTCCACAAGGACAACAGGGACAGGGCGGACAAGGTGGCTACCAGCAAGGACAACAGGGACAGGGAGGTCAAGGTGGCTACCAGCAGCGCCAACAAGGACAAGGTGGCTACCAGCAGCGTCAACAAGGACAAGGAGGACAAGGTGGCTACCTGCAACGTCCACAAGGACAACAGGGGCAGGGCGGACCAGGTGGCTACCAGCAGCGTCCACAAGGACAGCAAGGTGGCCAAGGACAGCAGCAGCAATTGTTGCCTCAGCCGGCGGGCAGCATTAAGCGAGGAACAATAGGCAAACCCGGCCAGGTGGCCGTTAACTATCTGGACATAGACATGTCAAAAATGCCACCTAAAGCCTACCACTACGATGTGAAAATCATGCCTGAACGGCCAAAGAAGTTCTACAGACAGGCCTTCGAACAGTATCGAATCGATCAGTTGAAGGGCGCAATAGCCGCCTTTGATGGCAGAGCCTCCTGCTACGCAGTGGACAAGCTGCCACTAACGACCCAAAACTCGGAGGTCACTGTAAGTTTTAAAGAAACTAAAAAGCATACAGTTTTTCAATACTTGTGACACATTTATGTTTTCATCTTTGTCTTTTTTTGCTCTCTCCCCTATTACTTTTCAGGTGACAGATCGCAATGGTCGCACTCTAAAATACACGGTGGAAATAAAGGAGACGGTTGATTCGGAAGTCGATCTGATGTCACTGAATAGGTAAAAAAGCACCGAGATTTGTGAAATAATATTATATAACACGGCCCTTTGCAGTTATATGAAGGAGCGGATCTTCGACAAGCCAATGCGAGCCTTACAGTGCATGGAGGTGGTGATGGCTTCACCCTGCCACAACAAGGCCATTCGCGCCGGTCGCTCCTTTTTTAAGATGGCCGAACCCGGTCAGCGCCGGGAACTGGATGATGGCTACGAGGCCCTGATCGGTCTTTATCAAGCTGTAATCCTGGGCGACAAGCCATTCCTAAATGTAGACATATCGCACAAATCTTTTCCTATTGCCATGACAGTAATCGAGTATTTGGAGCGATATGGTCTAAAGACGAAGATTAACAACACTACCAACCTGGATAATTCACGGCGCTACATAGAGCCGTACCTTAAGGGGATAAATGTGGTTTACACACCACCTCAGTCTTTTGCTACCGCTCCAAGGGTCTACAAAGTAAACGGACTTTCTCGGAGCCCGGCCTCCAGCCAGACCTTCGAGCAGGAGGGGAAGATGATCACAATTGTCGACTATTTCAAGAGTCGCAACTTTAAGCTGCAGTTTCCCCAGCTTCATTGCCTGCACGTCGGTCCTCCGATGAAGAATATCTTGCTGCCCATCGAACTGTGCTCCATCGAGGCAGGGCAGCCTTTAAATGTGAGTAACAAATATTTTTTTTAGTACTTTTAAGTGTTAATTTGTTGTACTAAAGTTCAAAGACAACAAAAAGCCTCTCCATTGAACAATTTTTTCACAGTTTAAATGTGGGTACTCACACGCACAGTTCAGTAATGGCTAAATCCAAAAGTAACCACCACAAAACTCAAAAACTATCGAACTGTCAATACTAGTCATAAGAAATACGTTTTAAAAATGCGTTAATAAGATTCGGTTACCAGCCCAACCAATTATTCATATAACGTTTTTGGTTTGGTATTTTCTTGCAAATCCTCTCCAAAAACATAATTTTTATTTGATTTTGAGAGAAACCTTTTGAAATACCGAACCGAAAGTTAAAGAATATTTTTCTATTTTTGAAATGCATACAAATTTATATTTTCGCAGCGCAAGGATGGAGCGACTCAGGTGGCCAACATGATTAAGTTTGCTGCCACCTCGACGAACGAGCGAAAGGGAAAGATTATGCATTTGCTGAAATTCTTCCAGCACAACTTGGATCCGACCATCAGTCGCTTCGGCATCCGCATCGCCAACGATTTTATTGTGGTAAGCACCCGGACCCTCAACCCACCGCAGGTGGAGTACCAAGGCAACAAATGGTGTGGAGTTAGGAACGGATCGTGGCGCATGGATAACATGAGGTTCCTGGAGCCCAAGCAGAAATCTCACAAGTGGGCGATAGTGTACTACGATCCGCCGCATGGTCGCAAGATGCACTTCAACCAGGTGGGCGAGCTTGAGCGCCAAATGTTAAACCAAAGCAAGTTGGTTAACGTGAGTCTGGCTGACAAGGCAGAATTTAGGACGTTCAAGGACGAGCGTAACCTGGACGATGTTTTCGGTGATCTGAAGCGCAGCCAGTTCGATCTTGCGTTTGTGATCATTCCCCAGTTCGGGGCATCATATGACATCATTAAGCAGAAGGCAGAGCTGCAGCACGGCATTTTGACGCAGTGCATCAAGCAGTTTACCGTTGAACGGAAGCTTAATGTGCAGACCATCGTAAATATCCTACTCAAAGTGAACTCCAAGCTAAATGGCATCAACCACAAGCTCAAGGATGACCCCAGGTCAATGCTTAAGAACGCCATGTACTTGGGAGCCGATGTGACCCACCCCTCGCCCGATCAGCGGGAGATTCCCAGTGTGGTGGGCGTGGCAGCCTCACACGATCCTTACGGAGCCGCTTACAACATGCAATATCGGCTTCAACGTTCAGCTCTGGAGGAGATCGAGGATATGGAGTCGATCACATTGGAGCACTTGCGCGTTTATCAACAGTACCGAAAGACCTACCCGGAGCATATTCTTTATTACCGCGATGGCGTAAGCGATGGCCAGTTTCCAAAGATCAAAAACGATGAGCTTAGAGGCATTTATGCGGCCTGTGCCAAGGTAAGTATTTTATAAGCTATTAACTAAAAGCACGAACTGAATGGTAACTAATTGCTTACCTCTAGGTGGGCATCAAGCCCAAGGTTTGCTGTGTGATCGTGGTGAAACGTCACCACACTCGCTTTTTCCCCAATGGGGAGCCCTCGCAGTACAACAAGTTCAACAACGTGGACCCCGGAACCGTGGTCGATCGCACCATCGTGCATCCCAACGAGATGCAGTTCTTCATGGTCAGCCACCAGTCCATCCAGGGCACGGCCAAGCCGACGCGCTACAATGTGATTGAGAACACGGGAAATTTGGACATCGACCTGTTGCAGCAGTTGACCTACAATCTGTGCCACATGTTCCCCCGTTGCAATCGCTCGGTTTCGTATCCGGCTCCTGCCTACTTGGCTCACTTGGTGGCAGCACGCGGTCGCGTTTACCTCACTGGGTAAGTCAATGTTTCCTCCTGCAGCTTCCCGTCCTAAATGGTTTTTGTTTGACAGCTCCACTAGGTTCCTGGATTTAAAGAAGGAATACGCGAAGCGCACAATTGTGCCCGAGTTCATGAAGACAAACCCCATGTACTTCGTCTAAGCAACGAGTAAAACTCATTTCAATTTTATAATTTTTATAATTATCACATTTCTTAAACCATATACATATACATCAGATGTAAGGGGAAGTACTCTGTCGATTGCACTATGAGCTTGGTTTTGTGATGTCCTGAATTGAGCTACATTCATTTTTTTTACAATTGGTTTTGGGCAATCCTGGACATCAGTGAGATGGGGAAGCCCATAGTGGAATCACAGGGTGCGCTCCTTATTTTGGGCATATTAATAATCGTTAAATAAACATAAAAAATAAACTCAACTAACTTGGTTGAAACAAAAGGGTTATTTAGTTAATATTTAATTTGCGACCTTACATCGCATCGAAATGGAATCTGTGGGACTCCTGCAGGCGCTCCTGTTTATCCTCGCGCTTTTCCTTGATGTACAGAACCAGAATGATGAAGACGATGACCAGGCATGTGCCACCCAGCGCCACAACGCTCATCAGGATCAGTTTGCTGGGGGTGACGAATAGCTGGGCCTTCCAGTGGGACGGGTCGTTCAGGGGTTTCGGCACCACAATGATTTGTGAATTGGGTATGAGCTGCGTCCAGTTGCGCAGCTTGCTGCCCAGCCCCACGGTCAGTTGATCCACGAAGTTCGGCGTTCGCCCTAGGCCAAAGCATGTGTACGGCAGTTGAAGGGCGAAGTACGAGGCCTGTGGCAGTTGAACACTGCTGCCAAATTGCTGGTCCCCATCCTGGGTGGTGGTGGTGTAGGTGATGCGGGGTCCTGGCAAGTTGGTGCCATACGTACGCTTCTTCCTGCCCAGAGGAGTGCGTCGCTCCGGATTCTGCTTGTTATCCAAGCCAGTCAGCACAATCACCTTTACAAAGTTCGCATCATAGTCGAGGGTGTTGCGGAAGGCGAGGGGCTGGTATTTCCCCTTGCCATCCTTCCGGATAAGAATCACATCGAGCACACCGTCCTGGTAGAAGTCGTAGAATGCGCCGGCCACCGTATTGTTGCCCATCGGCGAAAGGGCGTTCCAGCGAACCTCAAACGTGCGCTTCAACGGCTTGTTGCACGTGGTGCAGGCCACATTCTCCAGCAGGAAAGTCTGCATCACCGGCTTGCCCACATTTAGTGGCTGCAGCGTGATCAGAAGATCTGGATAGCCATCCAGGTTAAAGTCCCCGCTCCTCGCCGTAATGGTCCGCAAGTAAACATCATCCGACTCGGGCGGCACAAAGGCCCAGGTGATGCCTTGTGGATCGCGGAAGTTCACATGGAGATTCCGGAAATCGGTGCCATCGTACACGACGATCGAGGAGTTTCGGCAGTTCGAGTGGATGCAAAAGGGCACCACAATGTTCTGCACGCCCTTCAGCTCAAAGTCCATGAACACAGCCTGGCCGATGTGGTAGTCATTGCCTCCGATCGGCTGGAACCTGATCTGGTACTGGTAGCTGAAGTTCTCCTTCTTGTCCCGCTCATTTATGCCGTGCCACACTTCGTAGGAGTTCTCCGTTTGAAGGAACAGATCGGCCAGGAAGTCTCCGTCAATATCCACATAGGCATTTGCATTGGGGATACTCAACGAGTTACCCTTGACTTCTGTGGGCTCTGCCTGGTGGAAGTGGTCTGGAGGAAGCCTACTGCTGTTGAATATCCAGAAGGTGCGCATTCCCTCGGAGTCCAAGCCGTACAAATCGATAATCATGTCGCGATTGAAGTCCAGGGCCATCACCTCTCCTCTGCTGGTGAAGAGCGCTTCCTTGGAGCACTTCAGTTCGGTAGTGTTGCCCCAGTTGACATGGACCTCGTAGACGTCCTTGTCCCTGGTCTTTAGGTTAACCATCACGTCCATCAGGGCGTCGCCATCGAAGTCTCCGGGTATGACACTCACAATGGTCTTATCTCCGTACTGGCAGTAGGGTCCCAGTCTCAACAGGGGCTCCGTGTAGTGACCTGTGTGCATATGGGGGGGGGGAACCATTAGGAGATTAGGAGGAGATTTTCCTGGCACCCACTACATACCAAAAAGAATCTGCAAAGTCTTCTGATCGTCGCGGATAACAAAGACGTCCGTGAGTTCGTCGGAATCGAAGTCCCCGAATGCAGCCACAATGCCCTCCTTAATATCCGCGAAAACCTTGTCCGTAATATCGCTGGCGTGGATTAGGTTTCCCAGGGCCAGCAGGAGCCCCAGAACCCAGGTTATTCGGATCATTCCGGGCTTTAGAATTTTCACAATTTGCGTTATTTTGTCTACTGTTAGCGTTGTTGCTGTTTTTGTTGTAGAAAATCAATAGTGAATCAGATGTGGGCTAACCGATTATTTGTATAGCGCGTTTCCACTGACGCGTCCCTAATAATCTATAGGTCTCAGTAGTTTCCACTGCGCGACTGTACGGTCTCATCAAAAAGTTGGCAGCGATAGCCGAGACACTCTCCTAATATTTGCGTGATACAATACTCGGAACACATTCGCGTGAGACCGTAATTTTGCGCAGATTTCGGGATTTCACCACGGTGGGCAGCATGGTGAATTTTCAAATTGAAATTCGGGGGCCTTTCATTTCGCACTAATCCATTTTTTTCGTGAGTTGGCAGGAATGTTAGTTACATGTGGGCCAAAATTCATGTCAATGTCGTTATCACTAACATATTTACGCTACTGTTTACCAAACGAAAAATACATTTTTCATTCCTTTTCTACAACTTATAACATATCAGGTCAATGCCGTCAATTAAATAATATACATAACTCGAAATAATGATAAATAAATCAATGATTTTAAACCTGACTGTTAAGTGATCTGTGGGGGCATATGCACTAAACCATGTCTGATATCTAGCTGATCATGAAAAGAAGCCGAAGTTTACATACCCTAGCAATGCGGTGGAACCTAAAGTTGCGGGAAAAAAATGTGTAGGCAATTCTTTATGGATAAAAATGTTAATCTGCTTAAAAAAGTTATTTAAAAAAGGCTATTATATAATGGAGGGCAGTAAAAACACTGGTATGCGGACAAAAAGACTGACACACGTCTTCATTCCGATGGACGGAGAGGAAGGAGTGCACGAGTGCGCCGAAGCTTGGTGATCTGGTGACAAGCACCCACACCCAACGCACACGTACAGCTTCACTTCCTCTTTCTGTCGAAGTGCCATTTGATCGTTAAAGGATCCCTCGTTTTGGCAATAAATATTCGCGTTGCACTTTGCGAAAAACTTTGTCCGTGTTGTAGGTGGCAGAGAGGATGGCGCATTTTGATCAGGATGAGACTGACGTGTTTTGCCAGCGATTCGACCGTGCACGATTATGCCGACGGGCGTGTTGGGCCTTTGCTCGACCGCTAGAAAGGGTAAAATCTCAGTGGTATGCTGTTGGAAGCTTTTCATCATCTTTTGCCGTTGCTGGCAGTATATTTACGATCGCAAACTCAACTGCCGCTTGGCTTTTCATTAGCGCGAAATGTTAGGCCGCGAAGTTAATTTGAAAATTAACCTTTCTGCCCACAGTAGTATCCGACGGACGGCACTCACCTGCAGTGGTGAGTATGCTCAAATCTTAGCAATAGTACGGTTCCACGCGAATGTTAAGAGGGTGTCCTCGCTATTTTAACAGAGACATTATAGCGAGGACACCCTCCTTACATTCGCGAGGGACCGTGCTCGAAATATCGTATGTATGTCCAATATATACCGTCAGTACGGTTTTACTGATGGGGTAAATTTCAACTGTCAGGTGAAGGTCACACCTCAGTGAACAAAACTAAATAAATATCCCTTTCAAAAATATGTATAGGGAGAAAAGTTTAAACAATTGAACACAGTCTCGCCAAAACAAGAACAACACTGCGGATTGTTATGCAAAATAATACCAACGGAATAACGCGATTTGCTTTGGTTTAGTTTATCGAGGCAAACAATCGACGTTTTCCAACACCTGCACTCCGCAGTTTTCCAATCCCCCGTAAAATAAACAAATAATATCAAATTATTGCCACAACAATGGTGAGTACCTTTCCGAATCGCAGCCGTAGTGCGGTCCAAGTTTAGGCCAAGTTCGAGTCCGGGAGAAAGTGGAGAAACAGCTCTGTTTTCGCACCCGTTGCGTCTTCTTCTTCGTGCAGCGCCAGCTTGGGCACACTAGTTGTTGTTGTTGTATTTATGCAATTCGCCTGGGCAGCAAAATCTATAGTAAACAAGAAAGAACGGTGTGTTCGTATAGTCGTTTGCCAAGGATATAAGATACGATACCCGCTAGTCACTGCCCCGCTTCAGAATACCTAGCCTACCCTTGAGAACATATCCTATAAAATAGGCAAGGTAACTTTCCTTAACGTAGTGCGATTTTGGTAAGCTGGGACGTCCGAGTAGATAAATTCTTTAAAACCTTGTTAGCGAACTCAGAAGAGTATAGGTCCCAAATCCCAGCTCAGTCGCTCTTATAGATCCCGAGATTTCGACGCTGATGATCAAGAACATACCACTTACACATACGATTTCTATTGTTAGTAATGACATATTTTGATTTTGCAGAATAAACTGAAATCCAGCCAGCACCGCGAGAAGGTGAAGAAGTTCATATCGCTGACACAAACGGGCGAACAGACGGCTATTTTCTGTCTGCAACAGAACGACTGGAAACTGGATCTGGCCAGCGACAATTACTTCCAGAATCCGGAGTACTACTACAGGGAGCTGGACCGCAAGCGCATCGAGCAGCTATTTGTGCGCTATCGTGATCCCAGCGACCCCCTAAAGATTGGATCCCAGGGGGTAATCCACTTTCTGGAGGATCTGGACCTCAAGCCGGACTCCAAACTGGTGCTGATCATCGCGTGGAAGTTCCACGCCGAGGTGCAGTGCGAGTTCTCACGGGATGAGTTCATAAACGGGATGTGCGACCTGGGCATCGATAGCATCGACAAGCTGAAGGCCAAGCTTCCCATCCTCGAGCAGGAGCTGAACGATGCCGGAAAGTTCAAGGACTTCTACCACTTTACCTTTAACTACGCCAAGGATCCAGGGCAGAAGGGTATCGACCTGGAAATGGCCATCGCCTACTGGTGCATCGTTCTTAGTGGGCGCTTCAAGTTCTTGGACATCTGGTGCCAGTTCCTCGAGGAGAAGCACAAGCGGGCCATCTCGCGGGACACCTGGAACTTACTGCTGGACTTTGCCACCAACATCGACGATCGGATGAGCAACTACGATTCGGAGGGCGCCTGGCCGGTGCTCATCGACGACTTCGTGGAGTGGTGCCAGGAGAACGATCATCTCAAGGAGGATTCGTCGCCGGGATCCGGCTTCCCGCAGCAGTCCAACGCAAGCTCCAGCTCCCAGAAGAACATATCCAGCGCCTACCAGACCTCGCACAGTACAAACATGAACTATGGCTAACGAATTGTTACACTGTATTGTATTCTCATTAATGATAGATTTGCTTTTATTCTGATTATTCTAAATAACGGAGATTCAAAGCAAGGTCGGTAAATTTACATTTTCTCTATAAAAGCGTCGTAATAAATAAATAAAGTTAGTAAATGTACTTACTCCCGGCGATCTATTTATTGAGAAAGGCTTTAAAATAGGTAAAGAACTTTGAAGACGGTTGTAATAATTGAAAGCTAAATAATATATGTTTATTATTTGCTAAGTCACTTTCTGATTCAACCATTAATAATTGAAATATTTTATCATTGAATTTAGAGACCATAAAAACTGTCATCTCTCTGGTATTGTTTTAAGAATTTATATTTTTATGATTAAATGATTTCTAAAATTGAGAATATTAAAATTAATTGATTTTCTCAATTGTATTAATAAAGAATGTTTTTAAAGAAGACCATATACATTTCTATTTTATTTATTTTCATTATCTTATGGTTTTTAATGAAATATATTTTTTACTTTAAAAAGAGTTACTTAGGCTAAGTACTTATTATTAGTTTAAGGTAGCTTTTATTTTCATAACTAAATTAAGTTGTGTATTAACGAGAAGTACTTTTTATACGATTGAGGAAGCTAAATTTCTTTGATGTCCATTTTGATTTCTTATCGACTTAAATACCTTTTTAAAAAAGAATGTTTATTATATTCAAGCAGACTACCGTCCAATATTGTCATTTATATATATTTTTCGGGAAACCAACTAGTCAAGCTCAAATGTGATTTTGTACATTTTTACGAATGTGCAATGTTATGGCGCCTAATTAATTTTCAAATCACCCGCCGATCAATCATATCAACCTGGAGATTTATGTGTCATCACTGCCGTGACCTTCGATAACTTGCACAGCATCGGCTGTCATCGCTAGTGGTGTGACCGTTCGGCTGATTGATATTGTTACAACGATTTTTTCGCTGTTAAAAATATTTAATAATACCCCTTAAATCGCGTGCCAGGCACGCGAGTGTGTGTGTCAGCCCCAACGTCAATGCTGCGTACAAAAAGTAAAGTTCCAAAACGAATATTGAGTGCTGTAGAAGTGAGAAATGGGCAATTGATTGTAACAAAAACCCCGTAATCGCAACGTCTGTGGGGGATAGTCTCTGTGTGTGTGTCTGTGTGGGCGGCGAAGGAGCCCCACACACAGACAACCGTTCCATTACCCATACCCATGCAAAGCCCCACTCGCTGTTGTTGTTGTTGTTGCTGTTTCTGGCCATAATTAATTTCGACTCGAAAATCCTTTGCCCTTGGTTATTCTTCTTTCTGTTTTTTTTGGTCGGGGTTCTTGGGGTTCCGTACAATATAATCAAATCTGTGCAAACAGCGGCGGTCGCATTTGCGAATCCAATTATCATGTGAATAACTCGCGCGTCTCGCCTCGAGTGGGCGAAATTTAAACAAATATACGCCCTGTTGCCCGTGTGTGCGTATATAGTGTACATAGTGTGTGAGTAAATGCCACTAAACACACAAAAATAAACGAAACGAAAACAAACTGATAACCGCAGAAGTCGGACTACGACAACGTCTACGAGACCTCGGAGCACCATTTACGACCGTGCCATATAGTGCCGTATAGCCTATGTAGCTGAAGCCCCCTTCCATCGCGAGATCCGATCCGATCCTCACCTGCAGATAATCCGATAATTTAGTGGCCTTTTTAAGGCCAGAGAAAAGGGTAAACAATGGAACGCAAACTGGGTTTCTGGCTTTGCACTTTAAGTAGATAGATACCCAAAACGGGTAAGTTTTAAGAAATTGGAACGTGGAACAGTTGAGTTACTAAAATTGTTGATTTGTTGCAATAAAAAACTTCCTTCAAAGTCTAAAACACTTTAAAAAAGGGATAAAAAAAGTGATCTGAAAATTTTATTAATATCCAAAATTATTTAGAGTATCAAACATACCTAAATTTTTTAAAAAATCTAACTTTGCAATATTTTTAAACATTTTGTTCTCCTACTAATAGTTTTTTATTGTGTTATAGGAATAATTTTGATACTTATATGATTACAATGTAAAATTTTAAAATTGTTTGAAATTAAGAATATTGTGTATTCTTAAGACCACGATCCCAGAGAAGTGATTACACACTACAAATGATATTGAGCAACCGACCTTGTTGATTGAACATATTCGGATTTCTCTTTTGGATTTATAAAATTTTATAAATTTTTGTGTGGAATCTTGAGAATATATCAACACTTTTGGAATTTAATTCTTTGTACAAGAGTTTGTATATTTTTTTGATAGCGAAAGAATGTTTCTAAAGAAACATTAAATTATTAATTTTGAATCAGAACTACATTTTTACACAAAAATAATTTTTTAACTTTAAATATTGTAGTATATCAGGGAAATATAAAAATAATATTATAATTTAACAACTTTGAACCTGGTATCCAAGACGTCATGGTCGAAAATTTAAGTATATACATTTTACGAATATATGTATATTTCGTAAATTTCTTTGGACGTAAAGTTATGTGAATAATAGTGGTCTCTTTTAAGTTTCTATGCAGAATACACTTAAGTTTCTTGACACAAAACAATGGTTTTTATCAAAAATAGATGTCTGAATCACGGGATTTTGACTTTCGGTTGGAAGAGATTTCCGTGACACCCTTGTTACTGCACGACATTGTGATTCAGCCTACCCGTCACTTGCTCACTGTGGAATTTCTGGGCTATCACCCAAAACCAAGTGGGCGATCGCTTCCCATATACGAATATGTACAATATGTAATACATATTAAAACATTTCGATCCCATTTTTAACCGCTTTATATATATTTATATTATTATTTTGCTGCTTAGCTCGTGCAAAGTGACAACTCAACGAGATTAATTAGCCGGAGGTTTGTGTGTGAAAGCAATTGCCAGTGTCTGGGTATTGGGGATGGGATGGGAAGTGAACTGGGAACTGGGAACTGGGAAACGCTCTGCCAGTCGTATGCTAATTAATCGTTTCAAATTGTAGCCGCCGACGCCATGACCAAGAGCAGAAGCAACAACGCCTTGGAGACTAACAACAACATGCGATCCTGCTAAGATCAGAGTGAACGCGAACCCAGCCCGATCATGAGTCGCCAGGAGGGAGCTGCATCCCGTCCAGCCGAGGGAGCGGCCGGCCCAGTTACATCGTCATCCTCATCGACATCGTCCACCCACTCAGTGAGTGCTGTCCTGGGCAGCAAGATATCCACCTCGACGCCGCAGAAAAACGATGAGCAGCAGGAGCAGGAGTTTATCAACCAGAGCGTGGCCAGCGAGATCGAGGCCATGTCCATTTCGGGCTCCGTATCTGCGGACAGCAGCAGTGGCACCACGGCAGGCGCCACCATGAGCGGCAGTCCGGTGCCGAAGCGGCACCTAAGCACTGCCAATCTGTCGCGGATTCGTCCGCAGTCGAGCTACTCGGCTCGCGTCCTCATCTTCGACGACTCCGACCAGGAGGCAGCTGCCGCTGCAGCGGCTCTGGCGGCTGCCTCGTCCTCGTGCAACAGCAGCGTCAAGTCCTGCAGCGGATTGGAGCTGCTGCCCACCTCGCCGGCCAAGCTTTCCATCGGCAACGATAGCACCAACGGCTCCTCGATGATGCGCAATCTAAATCTGACCAAGAGCTCGTCCGGCGGCTTGTCCGGAAGTTCCAGCTCCTTGCATTCGAGGGGATACACGGCCCTTCTCCGGAAGATTTCCTACCAGCAACACACCAATTCGTTGCGTGCAGTCAGCAGCGGTAAGATTTTATCCCAATCAATCCACTTAAGTACTTATGAATGATTGAAGCTCTGATATTATTATGGAAAGATTTAAAGATTAACTTAAGCTCTCAATTTGTTTCCTCACTTCTAAACCAATGATAAGATTAGCTTTCATTGCGAAGAACGCATGCTTACAAGCTATTTTTATCATTACAGTAAGATGTGAATTCTGACGTAATTAGCACCTACAGATTGACACCTATATTATAGAATTAATCATGTTTATCTGGCTGTCCTTGTAAGCTTTTAAAACCAGACAACTCGATTAAATTGGTATCATTTTTTTATATTTATTACAGTCAAATGAGGCAAATGTCATATTTTTGATAATTTCGATATAAATTATTATCTTCTTTTAAGAATAATCTTGTATTCAAACCATCCCTCAAATTCAATGTTTTCAATATTAAAAAGAAAAAATTGTATATACTATTAGATTATGATTGTTCACAATCCTACATTACCTACATGGGTAGTTTTCAATAGAAGTTATATCGCATCTCTTAATTAATATTTATCCACAGAAGCCTCAAATCTGTTGCGCATGCGTCACTCCTCGCTGGGAAAGTCGGCACCCTGCCTCACTGGCAACTATTTCCGCCACGAGCTGGCTGCTCCGCCACCGATTCAGGCTCCCGGCTTTGGGGCTTCTCCTTCGGGCGGCCACAACATCTCAAGGTCGGGCAGTTGTGCCGGGATTGGCATGGTTAAGCACCACCATCACCATCATTTGCACGGCGTTGTGATGAGAGGATCGGCTGGTGGAGGCACTGGATCAGCGGGCGCCTCCTCGAGTGGAGTGGCTCATCATCGCCTCAGCTTGGTCACCAATGCTGCTGCCGTGGCAGCGGCTGGCGGATCTCGGGCCCATTCTCCGTACTCGGCCAGTCCCGTGGACAGTCCGCGCCTCAATTCACCCATGCCATTTGCATTTGCTCCGATCAAAAGGATCGCCTCGTGCCGTGGCGTTGTGGACGGTCGTCGCTGGTCCGTGGCCTCGCTTCCCTCCTCTGGATACGGCACCACCCCGGGCAGCTCCAATTTATCGGTGAGTTTTTTTGAGACAATCTGCAAAACAAGCATCTTTATTTTAAATGTTTCCTATTTCACAGTCTCAGTGCTCCAGTCAGGAGGGGCTCAACCAGTTGCCGCACAACATTCCGCCCGGTGTCCAGGAGGCGGATGCCGCTGCCGTGGCCGCCGGTGCCTGCTGTGCCGAGCACCTCAAGCAGCATTGTCCCAAGCACTGCGCTCTGTTACTGGCCGTTTCCCAGAAGCAACTGACGCCCCAGCCGCCGAAACCATCCCAGCTGCATCCCCAGAAACTGATAACAGCGCCTTGTAATAATTGCTGTGCCGAACTGAGCTTGGCCTGCGGAGGTCAACAGGCTGGCGGAAATGGTGGCCCATCGGCCAATACCTCTGCCTCGAGTGCTGTGCAGGTTGGGGGTCGAATGTCGCCCTTCTTTCGTCCACGCTCCCGATCGCTCTCCAGCCCATCGCGCTCACCTATCGTGGACAATGAGATTGCCGTGATGAACACTCTGTACAAGGAGCGTTTCCCCAAGGCCACCCAGCAAATGGAGGAGCGTCTAAAGCACTTCATCAACGAAAACAAGAGTGCTGCTTGCAACAGCTTTAGGGACTCGCAGCCGATAGTGCGGTGAGACTAAATAATTAACGAAATTTAATAAAAATATGAAATTCTATATAAATAAGAAAGTGAATAACTGAAACTAATTCTCTTCCACAGCTTTGTGCATCATCAGGTATTGGAAATGGCAAGGGACTGCCTGCACAAATCGGAGGCCAAGTTGATAACCTCGCAATATTTCTATGAGCTAAGTGAGAATCTGGAGCGTTTGCTGGTCGAGACCAAGGAGAAATCGCCGGAGGCGGCCGCTGAGCTAAATGGTGTGATTAAAAAGCTTCTATTGATTATTTCGCGTCCAGCTCGATTGCTGGAATGCCTGGAATTCGATCCGCAGGAGTTCTACGAGCTATTGGAGGCTGCCGAGGGACAAGCCAAGGCCATGCCCGTTATCAAGGCGGACATTCCGCAATACATAATCCACAAGCTGGGCCTGAACCGTGATCCAATCGCAGAACTTCAGCAAGAGTTGAGGGAGACACAGCAGATGTGCTCGGAGCAGGTTACCGTGGACGCGGATCCTCTGCAACCGAATGGCAGTTTGCTCCTCAATTCGCCCCTCACCAGTGCAGCCAAACAGTTGAGCAGCCTGGCCCTGGATTCCATTGCCTTGGACTCAGGGAGTGGCACAGCGACACCTCAGCAGCCTCCTCAGACCCCCGTAGCTACGTGTGAAAATGCTCCATCTTTTGCACAGGCTATAAGCCAGATGAATGAGGAAAGAACAGGAGCAGGTAGTGCAGTTGGAGGATCAGGAGCAGGAGCTGGAGGATTCCCTGTAGGAGCTGCAGGAACAACAGCAGGCAGTGGAGCCCAACAACAACCCTCACCCCAAGAAAACGACTTTGACATTGTCAAGCTGATCTCAAATGGTGCTTACGGAGCCGTCTACCTGGTGAAGCACAAGACCACCCGTCAGCGCTTCGCCATGAAGAAAATCAACAAAAATAATCTCATTCTGCGCAACCAGGTGGAGCAGGTGTTTGCCGAGCGTGACATTCTCTCGTTCGCCGACAATCCCTTTGTGGTCAGCATGTACTGTTCGTTCGAGACCAAGAAACACCTGTGCCTGGTAATGGAGTACGTGGAGGGTGGCGACTGCGGAACGCTGCTGAAGAACATCGGGCCACTGCCCGCGGACATGGCCCGCTTCTATTTCGCCGAGACAGTATTAGCCGTAGAGTATCTGCACAGCTACGGCATCGTGCACCGCGACCTGAAGCCGGACAATCTTCTGATCACGGCCCTGGGCCACATCAAGCTGACTGACTTTGGGCTCTCCAAGATGGGTCTTATGTCGTTGGCCACCAATCTGTACGAGGGATATATCGATTCGGAGACTAGGCAATTTTCCGACAAGCAGGTTTGTAATTCGAAGTCCTTATTTAAGAAGGGAAACCATTACATTTACATTTACATTTTTTCTCTATTCCAGGTGTATGGCACACCCGAGTACATTGCCCCCGAAGTGATCCTACGCCAAGGTTATGGCAAACCAGTCGATTGGTGGTCAATGGGCATCATTCTATACGAATTCCTTATCGGTTGTGTGCCGTTTTTTGGCGAGACCACGGAGGAATTATTTGCGCACACAGTCAACGATGACATCGAGTGGCCGGACAGTGAAGATTGGCCCGTGCAATCGGAGGCAAAGGACATAATTTCGCAGTTGCTGCAGCAGAATCCGAGGGATCGTTTGGGCACCCAATCGGGTGCCCTTGAAATGAAGGAGCATGAATATTTTCTGGGCATGGATTGGAATTCCCTGCTGCGTCAAAAGGCAGAGTTTGTGCCGCAGTTGTCTCACGATGATGATACCAGTTATTTTGACAGTAAGTTGGATAACATTAGATAATATTGAATACATTTATTATAACATTTCTACTTTCTCTTTAATTAGCCCGCATGGATCGCTACAACCATGATCTAGGTGGCGAAGATACGGACGACACAGATGATACGCCCGTTTTTGGCAGTTTTAATTCGTATACTCCGCAATATAGGAAGCAGCATTATAGTTGGTCTCGTCATGCCACGCCCTCGGCCACCGATGGCGCCAAACCGACTGGCCCGCCACCACTTACATCGCTACCATCGCGTGCCCAGGAGAACCCAGTAGCAGCCGCAGGTCCCACATCAACTGGCGCCCTGCCTAAACTCAAAACGGGGACGGGAAGCGGTAGTGGTAGCGGTAGTGGTTCGGGTAGCGCCTCCAACGAGGGAGTGGTCAACAAGTTCTTGAACACGCCACAACTGCGAAAGCTAGATGTGAGTATTAGCTAAGCAAATATTTTTCATAAAAGCAAATTAGGTCTATACCAAAAGTAAATAATTGTGTCAATTAGGGGAGTTTTTAAATCAACAAACTGTTTGTGATACCTCTAAGTTTTCTTGTTACTTGACTCAGAACAAGTATTATATTTTATTGTATATTTATTAAATATTTCTTATAGCTCTCGTCCAGCTGCCTGAAGGTGCCGTCCACCCCAGATGCCGACTATTTGCCCGAGTTGCTGCACAATGTCACGATTGGAAACGACGCGGAACTGCGGATGTTGAAACACTATCTTCAGCAACCGGTTTCCGGGCAAACTCAGCGCATGCAGCAGCGTCATAGCATGCCGCCAAACACGACGACCATCATCAGCACGCCGGCCACTCCGCCACCAACTCAAAGTCAGGCGGCAATGGCGGCCACTCCGCCAACAGCCACGGTGGGCAGCTTCTCACGCAGCACGCCGGAGAGTTCGCAAACGGACAGTGATGACTTCTCGCCGCAGATCAACCGAAAACGAAAGGGCGTCTGTGCCAGGGACATTTTGCCACGTTTCTCCATCTCGATAGAGGACGAAACCATTTCCGCGGGCAGCTCATCCACGGAGAACATGAACTTGCCCAGGGAACAATCCCCGCTGGCGTTGCAGCATCAACCGAAATCCATGGACGGCAGCAGCAGTGGCACCAGCATGAAGCACCATCGTTCCAGGTCGATTGTTAAGTCAGCATCCGCTTTGGGCTTGTCGCTGATGACATCACTGGACAACAGTCAATTGGCCGCTCAGTTGTGCGGCATTCAATCGCCGGGCGGCGGAGGCAATGGCTCCAGCACAGCCAGCTCCAGGGATACGTCTCCTTGCCGAGAGCTCTCGCCATTGGTCACAAATCTGAAGCCACCGATCATCATTCGACGTGGACCGCGTGGATTTGGTTTTACTGTACACACCATCCGGGTGTACTATGGCGACACGGACTTTTATACGATGCACCATTTGGTCATGGCCGTAGACGAGGGCAGCCCGGCTTTTGAGGCAGGGCTGCGACCGGCGGATCTCATTACCCATGTCAATGGTGAGGCTGTGCAGGGTCTGTTCCACACACAGGTGCTGCAGCTGCTCCTAAGCGGCGGCGAGCATGTTACCCTGCGGGCCACGCCCCTCGAACACACTAGCATTCAGAGCGGTGGCCGCAAGCGCGATCTCATGCACAGCAAGCTGGCCAAAAAGGGTGTGAACCGCCAGAAGAAGCAGACCAAGCGGGAGCACGACAAGAAGCGTAAGACTTCGCTGTTCCGCCGCATAAGCAGCAAGCGCGCCAATGCGGAGATGCAGCAGGTGAGATCGCATTTGCTCAATGGTTGCAGAGCTTATAATCTTATCTATATCTCCACATTAATTATAGTACTCTGCTGGCACAAGCTCACCGACCACACCATCAGCAAGAAATCTGTCACCGTTGGATTCTTCGTATCACAGCAGCTGTTGCCAGTCGGCAGCTAACTCCTCATCGCAGTCCACCTCGCCCTCTTCCTCATCGCCCAACACACCCACCGGTTCGAGTGGCTCCAATCACGGTGGCAACGCAGCATCCGCTCCAGTTGCTCCCTCGGCCCTCAGTGTGCAATTGCCCGCTGCCCCGCCACCCACGCAGCTGGTGCTCTTGCCCCATGTGGGAGCCGTCGTCGGCAGTAGTCCCACCTCTGTGGGAAATGTGCCAGGTAAGTTGATTAAAGGCATTCGAACCATGCCGGTTAATCAATATTTCCTGCTTCACTTTTATAGTGTCTCCCACTGGCGTCGTTCCGCAGCTGTATCAGCGTCCATCCACTCTACATGGTCTCAAGCACAAGCTGCACGCGGCCACCTCCGTAATAGCGGGCGGAGGCAATGCCAGCAATCCCGCCGGAGGACTGAAGACCCTCCACACCACGAGCAACAATTCGCTGCCGAATCGCCGGAAGTCTGTGGGCCACATTCCGCTGTCTCCGTTGGCGCGGACTCCTTCCCCATCGCCGCTGCCATCGTCGCCCACACGATCTCCTTCCCCATTGGCCTTTCCACTGGTTGGTCATCAGCCAGGTGCCTCCAACACCACACAGTCTTACAGTCCTGGGAGCACGCTGCCCACGTTGCAGACGGCGGTGAATGCCAACACCAAGAAGGCAGGATTTGCGCGCACCAAGTCAGCGGAACCGAGTTCTCCGCTGCTTAGACGGGCCTTGTCCCCGGACCGCTTGCACCCTCGTAGCGCTGAAACGAAGATATCGCCACTGTGCTGCTCGCCGCCCATCAAGCAGCCCACGCACCAGCGAGTTGTGACCACCACCTGGAGGTCGACGCCAGGCGGCAATGCAGCGGGATCTGGAGGTGCAGTTTCAGGTGCTCCTGCAGCACAAGCACAGCAGATGGTAATGGCCGCCCCTGAGGAATCTCAAAGACAAACCGCTGTGGCTTCAGTGGTTCCCACAACCACTTCCGGTACGGAGTCAAGTGCCACCGCTGTGGTTACCCTGGCCAACTCCGAGCCTCTGCCCCGCATTGCCGAGGAGAAGGATTCGCCCACCAGCACCCAGGACAGCAGCAGTGTGTCCGAGGGATTCATGCCCGCCATCGAGGAGTATGGTGAGGGGGAGTCCTCGTCCTCGCCCACTCAAACCCTCGAGAAGCCCACTAAGGTCAAGGCTACCGAGCAACCAGAAATGGAGCCTGCTGGCAAGACCAAGAAGGTAGACCAGGGTGAGTTGACTAGCACGATTGTGGCATATAACACAAATAGTTTAGATTATTTGACATTTTTTTCACATTTTAAGATTAGAAAAAAAGTTTTTTTAAGATTCCCGATAGACTATTTACATTTTACTAGTGGGTATATTTCAAAGCTCTCACGGGATACATTTTTAAATTAAAAATGTTTGAATTTTATAGATCCCCTAGAGACTTATTAATTTCTGTTAGTGGGTATATCTTAAGGTTCCCACAGAAGTAATCTTTTTAAATGAGTATATTAAAATCAATATTATTTAAATTTGTTCCACTTTATCACTAAAAATATAATTAATTACCTTTTAATTGTTGTGTTGTAATCATCAAATAAAACCATTTTGTTTTTCAGGTAAAACCATAGCCCCATCAGCACCCAAATCCAAGTCCCAGAACAGTGGCTGTAAAACTTCGATGACAACGACAAAGCCCGCCAGTCCGAGCGTGACCATCACCACAGGACCACGCAAGGACTCAATGGCTACGACAGGAGGTGGAACCACTGCAACTGGAGCAACTGCAGGCACTTCTGCTGCCAAGCAGAGGAAGTAGCGCCAGAGCAGCCGCGGTGGATATGGATGCTTGTGTTTTAAATTTCGCGTTTAAACGTTTATCTAAGATGAGGAAAAGAAGAAGGAAGGGCGTGGATGGGGGGCAGGAAATGGAAATGGAAGCCGCAGGAATTCAATATATATTTATAGCGATTGATTGCGTTTTAAACCTTTTTTCGAAGTAAGCTTGTGTTTTTGCGCAAATCATAAAATTTAGCAATGAAATTAATTAGAAAATTCTGAAACCTAGTAGTTTGTAGATGTCGTAACTAAAGAAAAACAAAAAGAATACCGCTTGAAAACTCTTAATGTAAATTAGTAGGCACGAAAGCAAATCGAGAAAAAGCACGATATTCCAGTTAAAACAAAACTAAGAGGCACCACGCAATTATGTACTGTATATAAATGTGTAACATTGATAGAATTAACGAATTGAGGACTACGGATGGTGAGTCGAATGGAGAGTCATGGAGCGGAATACGCGGTGTTTGGGCTGCGTTTATAACATTTTTGCGAATCTATACACTATGCCGAATTCAATATAAACTATATATTAAATAAATGTTATGTGTGTGTGTAAATCAACTTTTTGAATTTCTTTGGAGCAAAAGATAAGAGGTGAGGCTGAGTAATGAAATGGATATTGCAGTTTTTTCGAGAAAAGAAAGGACTACTCATTTCTTTTACTAAGATTGTTGTTTTCAAGATTTTTTTAAATAACTAACAATTATTTTTACAGCTTTTCCCTTTTACTTTTTTTTAGAACAGTTAGTTATTTATTTTGCTATTTCTTAAAAAATACTTATTTGAATTTTTTAAAGATCATATTCTCTTTATTTTAAAATTTGGAATCATAACTTTTTTAACACAATCCTATAAGTAAATTTCTTTCTCCTTAAAATACAATTTTATTTTCGTTTTCGATGAGATATTTTAAATTTAAAGTGAAAGCATCGCTACTTTACCCCGTTTCTTATGATAAATTACTTTAAATTATCCCGAATCTGATTAATTTAAATCTATATTAATCATCCCCTTTTCTGAGCCCATGTCGATAGGTCTATGGCCGTCAAGACGCTGTTATCGATAGAAATCTGCCAGCTGTGCAAGAACTGCACTTGTGGCCGAATTACTTCATTTTCCACAATAATTTAGCGCAAATATGCTGCCGAAACTGAAAATTTCTGCATTCCTGCTAAAAGTAAGACTTATTATTGCAATTAAAGATAATTTGTAATGCTGGAACTTTCGATTGTAGCGCCTGGAGCGAACGAAGCAGCAATGCAGTGGTTGTTTATACGGAGTTTTCTACGGAGAGGGAACCCTGCTCCTCCTGAGCTTCAACATTGAGTCCAGTTTGGGGCAGCTGAACTACGAGCAGATCCAGCACAGATTCCCCGCCGAACTGGATCTCTGCGGATTGGTCAAGTTCGGCGACTGCACCGATGGCGAGGCACACCTTAATGAGGTCATCAAGTCGGTGGACATCACCGACAATCCCATCCTGTTGCACTGCGAATTGGGCACCTTGGTGGGTCTGCGGGCCTCGTTCTTTGTCCACGGAAAGCTGGAGGACGCGCCCTACGAGGTGATGGAGGCTGAGCAGCTGTACAACGACTTCTGCTTCACCCGACTGCAGTGCGGGTTCTTCCTCCAAACGGCAGCCACTCCGGAGTCAGTGGCCCGGGAAATGCATATTCTGCGCAAGCGGGTAGCCGACGGCAATCTGGTGTTCAATGTACCGCAGACGAAGATCTTCATCAACAGCTGCGGACCGCTGGACAAACGCTTTACCAGTGACTCCCAGATTCAGGATCTTCTAGATGTCATCCCCAGCCCAGGACATGACAAGGAGTCTGCAGGTGGAGACAAGAAGAAGGCGAAGGCCCAAAATACGCCAGTCAGGAGATTGGCTCCCACTGGCTGCGACTATGAGGTGATTCCCATCGATGTGTTGCGATCGCGCAGTCGTGATCCTGTTGCCAGGGACTCACCGCCTCATCCGGCGCTCAGCATTGCCGTAACCACAGAGGAGCAAACCCGAGTCCAAGTTCCATTGGAGATAGAAGCCATGGCTATTCTTTGCCGGAAGACAAAGCTGCTGCGGCTGTACGACGTCCTCATCGAGAGCATCTGCCGTGCCCTGAGATTATTCGAGCTGAGCCTGATTGAGCACCTCACAGAATCGGAGAGCGGCAAGCTGCTGGTGCCCGCTAGCTATCACTTCTATCCCCAGGAGTTTGGGCACTTCGTGAGCTGCGCTTACTTGGAGGACCTAGGCGACGATGAGCCGCACATGCAGGAGAGACGCAAGCGACTCCATCGACAGTTCGCTTTGCCCGTCAGTCGTCCCTATTTCCGCAGAGCCAATCAGGTGCGTTTCCTGGGCGAAACGGAGGATGCCCCGTGGACTCCACTGCTGAACACACACATTGGAGTCCGGCCCAGTGGAGTAACCGACGGCAAGGAGTACTTAGTGAACGGAAACTACCATTACTACCACTACCTGCAACAGCAGGTGCAGGACAAGGGATGGGGCTGTGCCTACCGCTCGCTGCAGACAATCTGCTCCTGGTTCGTGCTGCAGGGTTATACGAACGCTCCGATTCCCACACACTTGGAAGTACAGGAATACCTGCACAAGATCAACGACAAGCCGGCTGCTTTCGTGGGATCCTCCCAGTGGATAGGTTCCACGGAGATAAGCATGTGCCTGCAGGGATTCCTTAACGTAGACTCGAAGATTATACACGTGGCCTCTGGAGGCGAGTTGGCCACTGTTGCCTCCGAACTGGCCATGCACTTCCAGACGCAAGGAACACCGGTGATGATTGGAGGCGGTGTGCTAGCCCACACCATTATCGGAGTGGACTACTGCGTGCAGACGGGTCAGGTGAAGTTCCTTATCTTGGATCCACATTACACAGGGGCCGATGAACTGGCCACCATTCAAATTAAAGGCTGGTGCGGTTGGAAGGGCATGGACTTCTGGACTAAAGGCAGTTACTATAACCTCTGCATGCCCCAGCGCCCGATTTTGTATTAGATCCATTTCCATATGCATTTAGATACCCCTAGGGTGGGTCGACTTCATGTTTTATCATTAGCCCAAAACATAATTTCTTTGCTTTACATTTTGATTATTTACCCATTTTTTTTTAAATGACAATTGTATTAAAAATAGGTAATAACTAAAACGTTTTTATAAAGATATCTGCATTAGGTCTTTATTTCGCCCAATTGAAAACCAAATAAGATATTACTTCATGAAAATTACATTTTTTAGCAAAGATTATATATGGCTCTTTAATTGTGTCAGTTCTGTGTTTTGCAATCTTCCAAGTCGACCCACCCTAAAGTACCATCTAAGGTCGAGCTTTAACGTGGTTTTCTGTGTAATAATTTGTTGTATATGATACCTGTGTACTTTAATTGTATTCTTCTTGTACGTTATATGTCGACGCTATATCTCCCACTCACTTATTAAACGATATATTAAAATTTTAGCTTAGAAACGAAATGGATACAGATGTGACCCTTGAGTAAACTTCTTAATGGGAAGTAGTCCCGGGTTAAACACCACTCTTAGAGTACTTCTTCCAGTAACGCTTGACATCATCGTGACCATTCTTCTGGACCACCATGGTGCGAGTTCGTTCATTTTGCCACACCAGCATGTGGATCGACTGAGCGTAGTCCCTCAGCGTTACGAAATCAACTTGGGAGAGGAACTGATTGTACACCACGCCCTCCGTGTAGGTGAAGCGATTTCGCTCCAGTTCCCAGAGTTTAATTTGATCGACGACTGTCGGTGGCAGGCAGGATTTCGACTGAATGGCAGACTCCACCAAACGCATGTTGGGATGCGCATACTGTTCCAGATACGAGACAATCTGCTCCGCCGTAATTCCGCCCCGCAGCGCCTGGCGCACTGAATCCCGGGTGAGCACGCCCACAACGAGATTGGGAAAGCGGTAGAGTAGCTCTGTGAATAGACCCAGCACGGCCACCTGAAGCGGCGAGTCAGTGTAGGCATACACGCGGTAGTTCGTCTCCACCACGATATAGCCACAATCCTGGGTCACCTCCTCATCCATTGCCACGGAGGCGGTCGCCGCAGCCTCTTTGCTGGTCACATTCAGAGCCAAACGGGTGGGATAGAAGCGCCCCTCCTTGCGCTTTCGCTGGAAGACCAATCCGAACTCCCGCAGATGCTGCAGGAAGGTTAGCATCTGGTTATTCATCCCCTCCGAACTGTAGTCCCTGCCCAGCGTGGAAAAGCTGAGCTGGAACAGCATGGACAGGCATTCCGGCAGGCTAATCCCTCGCTCCTCGCACGTGTCTAGGTACTGGAGCATAAAGTGCCAAACCTGAGCTCGCGTGTCTAGCAGTAGGAACTGGAAGCCCTGTCGGGTTATTGTGATGCCATCGCGCTCATCTCGTTTCATGAGATTGGCGTGAAGCAAAATCCTCACGGCATCCGGACTTATCGCCTCCGCATCGGTGCCATTGCGATTTCCAGTGCCAACCATGTAGTGCAGCACGCAGCGCCATCGTGACATGGCGTATGTGTCGAGAAAGGCGATGTCCCTGGGCTTTGAGTCCTTCTCCAGCGTGTTGGTCATGGGCCAGGGCTTTCCGCCGCCCAGCAGCACCTGGCGCACGCTCTTCTTAAAGGTGGGCGAAAGTTCCCAGGCAGACAGACCACCAGGAATGGCAGTAACACGCCAGACATTCAACGCAGTCAGACAGCTGGTGGCCTCCGTTTGCTCCCTGGATGAATGATTTTAAAATTAAAGTGGATTTCATAAACTAATTTGAGTCAATCTCACTTGGCACAACGTTGGGCCCCCCATGAGGTGACCACCGCTTGTGGCACCGGTTGATCCACGAACAGAATCCTTATGATGAACTGCCTGGCTATTTCGGGCAGCTCCCGGAACACAGCTAAGCAAATGGGTGGATAGTTGTAGAGCTTCTCCAGCGACTCCGGCGTTTGACGAGTGCGCAGGTACTCTTGGAAGTCCTTGCACTCCAGGTTCGCAGGACCCTGCACCAAGGGCGACAGGCCAATGGTGCCACTTCCACCGGCTGCCGAGTACCGTCCGGACCCGGATTTCGTGTCGGCCATGTCGATGCGAATGTCGAAATGGTAAACAAAAGGGACCGGATCGGCATCGATATCCGGCTTTTGCCGGTGGACAATCGGAAGCAGTTGCTAGGGGCGTAGCGAAAGGGGAATCTTTGGCACACAATTCTTTACTAACCACTAAATTATATGATATTCAGTACGGACACCGAATATTTTATATAATTTTCTCGAACGGAAAGATAATATTGCTTTACATTTTTTTAGTAATAATTCCCAGATATGCCTATGAATTGCTAGTGAAATACATATTATCTCTCCAAACAAAAAATTATTTTAAAAAATTGTACTTTAAAAATATCCAAAATAACACGTTTTAAGTTAAAACATTTAATATAACAAAAGAAAAAGTTACCGTTGGATAAATAATTAACTTTGTAGTACAACCCCCTTTTCTACTTCTATGTCCTCATGGTTCAAATAGAGATGGACCTCCCTTGTTATCGATAACTGTTCAGCTGTTGCTCTGCACACGTGCGCTGAGAAGTATTCTCTATTGCTATTTGATTTTTGCCTATTTTTGGACCAAAAATGAGTGACGACGAGGAGCACTACGAACCGAGGGCACACAAGAAGCTGCTGCAGGCCATTGGCAGTCTGGGCAAGGTGCAGCACATCCAGAAGTCCACCCGCGACGAGCGCCAGTCGCGTCAGGATGAGTTCCAGCTGGTCAAGAGCGTGTCGTCGGCGGAATTGGAGCGGGCACCCAGGGCGGTGGGTCTGAATGACCTGGTGGATATCCTGCGCACCTCCAAGCACAGCCAGACGGGCAAAAAGCTCAAGAACGTCCAGGGCAGCAAGAAGGTGTTGAAGAAGCCTCTGGAGAAACCGGCAGCGGATCGCATCAAGCGGACCATTGGCTACGAGGGAGTGACCAAGAAGCTGGGTCGTTGGGACGCAGTGGTAGCCCAACAGCGGTCGGCAGAGACGCAGGTGAGTCCATGCCATATATATTTATTATCTCCAGCAGCTTACCTTAAAAAATCTCCCTTCAGATCTTTCCCTTGCCCTCTGAGACGATTTACGTGAACACCTCGGCGAGTGCCCGTCCCCTAAACACACGGATTAAATCCAATCTTGCCAGGGAACTCGAGGCCAGCAACCGTAAGCTACGTGAGCTGCGCAAGGCGCAAATTGGCGACACCACGGATGAGAAGGAGCTCGCCAAACAGGAGCGCATTCTCCACCAAAAGAAGCTCACCCGGGATGAGCTCTTTGCCCATCGCAAGGAGTTGGCCTACTTGAAGATGCGCGAGTCCCAGAAATCAGCTAAAGCCCGCATGCAAAACAAAATCAAGTCCAAAAAGTTCCACAAGCTGCAGAAGCGCCAAAAGATGTTGGAGCAGATGAAGGAGTTTGAACTGCTGCAGAAAACCAACCCAGAGGCGGCGCTAGAGAAGCTCAACGCTTTGGAGAAAAGTCGAGTGCAAGAGCGCGCCAGCCTGCGACACAAGAACACAGGCACATGGGCTAAGAATCTGCAAGTTCGTGCCAAATACGACAAGGATGTGCGTAAGGACCTGGCCGAGCAGTTGGCTGTTAGCAGGGAGCTGACCCAGAAAAAGCAGGAGTCCGACAGCGAGGAGGAAACAAGCAGGAAGAGAGCGGCTCCTGAGGAGGAAGAGAATGACTACGATCCTTTCAATCCTTGGACAAAACGAAAAACAGCGGTGGAAGCTGAAAACGGCAAAGGCGAAAATGAGGATTCCAATTGGCGACAATATTGGACGAAGCGGAACCGAAACGAAAAGCTTTTAGAGGAGCATCGCAGGGAAATGGAAGAGGAACTGCAGCATGATGAAGATCAGGCGGTGGAGGAGGAAGAAACTCCGGAGCCATCAAGCAAAGCTAAACCTGCCAAGAAAAGCGTTAAAAAATCCAAAGTTAAAATTGAGAATGGTTGGCAAGTAGAAGAAATTGAGCGAACTGAACCTGAAAAGCTCAAAGGAAAATCGAACACTAAGTCCATTGATGATATTTTTGAGGAGCACGAGGACCAAGTGAGAGCCAAGCTTAGTGAGAAGATGGAAACTTTGAAGGAACGCGTAAATAAACTTAAGGCAGCCCCCGTCAAAGGAAAGAAGGCGAAAAAGAAGGACGCTCTGCAGAACCTCAAAAGTCTGGCCCTAAAAAAAGCAAATCAGCAGGTGGAGATTGACGAGCCCCTAAATTATGAGGAGAATGTGGATCTGCAGAAGAAAATCCCAGACCAATCAGAGGATAATCCAGAAATCAAGGTGACGCCTGCTGTGGATACTATAGACCCAAACAAGGTGACAACTCTAGTGGTTACCCAAAAAAAGACCATCTCGGGTGGCATCAATGATGCTCTGATAGACGATGAGGAGGCAGAATACGATGAAGAAGACGCGGCAACCGAACGCCAGTTGACTATTAGTCAGGCCTTCGAGGACGACGATATAATTGCTGATTTTAACCGGGACAAGACCAAGGACTCTGAGCTGAAGAACACGGAGCTTCAGTTGGCCCTGCCTGGATGGGGTTCCTGGGCCGGTGCCGGCATTTCCCAGGCGGTGATGGAGCGCCGTAACAAGCGACTCCTTCTCAAGCTAGCTGCTCCGGAAAAGCGACGGGACGAGAACAAGGATAACCTCTACCTTAACGAGTCGGCCAGCAAAGCAGCGCGCGAGCACATGGTCTCCAGCCTCCCTTTCCCCTTTCGATCCCTTGCAGACTACGAGGCCAGCATCCGGGCCCCAATTGGGCGGAACTTTGTGCCGGAGACGGCCTTCCGGATGCTGACCCGCCCTTCGGTCATCACGCGCAAGGGTCAGGTCATCGAGCCCATGACGGAGAGCGAGCTAGTCAAGCCAGACAGACGTCTGCGTCACATTGTGGACAGGAGAATAAAACGCATACCGAAGGTTCCCCCCAAGGCGAAGATAGCTTAATGTTAGGACTAGACTTACGAATAAATTGGATACAAATTAAAACAAATGAAGAGCAATATCGTAGGATTTTTTTTGGTGAGTGCCATGTCTTACAAATTTAGAAATGAGTGTATTTAGAAACGCGTTAGCATTGAGGTGTTAAAAGATTATATATATATAAGCTTAAAAACGATATTCTCTAGACTCCGTTTTAAGATTTCGATTCAGAGTTTAGACAAAGTACATGGGGTTTGCCTTCATAAATTCAGGAACTATCTTGCGCTTTTCGTACTCCGCCTTCAGATCCAGAAACCTAGTGGATCTGTCACATAAAAAGCGATCAAGAGCGAGGAAATTTAAGAGAAAATATTGACGTACCCAGTGAGGTAAACACGTCCGCGAGCTGCCACCAAGTGGGCCAAGTAGGCAGGAGCCGGATACGAAACCGAGCGATTGCAACGGGGGAACATGTGGCACAGATTGTAGGTCAACTGCTGCAACAGGTCGATGTCCAAATTGCCCGTGTTCTCGATCACATTGTAGCGCGTCGGCTTGGCCGTGCCCTGAATGGACTGGTGGCTGACCATGAAGAACTGCATCTCGTTGGGATGAACGATGGTGCGATCGACCACGGTTCCGGGGTCCACGTTGTTGAACTTGTTGTACTGCGATGGCTCCCCGTTGGGGAAGAAGCGAGTGTGGTGACGCTTTACCACGATCACACAGCAAACCTTGGGCTTGATGCCAACCTAAAAATTAGAATTTGAATAATGACCCGTTTAGTAAATCAAAACTCACCCTGGAACAGGCTGCATAAATGCCCTTCAGCTCTTCGTTCTTAATCTTTGGAAACTGGCCGTCGCTCACACCGTCGCGGTAATAGAGAATGTGATCGGGATAGGTCTTCCTATACTGGCGATATACACGCAGGTGCTCCATCGTTATCGACTCCATGTCCTCGATCTCCTCCAGAGCCGGTCTCTGCAGCCGATATTGCATGTTGTAGGCGGCTCCGTAAGGATCGTGTGAGGCTGCCACGCCCACCACACTGGGAATCTCCCGCTGATCGGGCGAGGGGTGGGTCACATCGGCTCCCAAGAACATGGCGTTCTTTATCCGCGGTTCGTCCTTGAGCTTGTGATTAATGCCATTTAACTTCGAGTTCACCTTGAGTAGGACATTGGCAATGGTCTGGGGATTGAGCTTTCGCTCGACAGTAAACTGCTTGATGCACTGCGTCAAGATGCCGTGCTGCAGCTCGGCCTTCTGCTTGATGACGTCGTAGGAAGCTCCAAAGGTGGGGATGATCACAAATGCCAGGTCGCATTGCTTACGCTTCAGTTCCCCGAAGCATTCGTCCAGGGAGCGGTCGTCCTTGAAGGTCCTTATCTCCGCCTTGGCTTCCAAGTTTATGCTCACCGACTTGCTTTGGGTAAACATCTGACGTTCGAAGTCAATCACCTGGTTATAGGATATCTTGCGACCTTGTGGCGGATCATGGTACACAATCGCCCACTTGTGGGCCTTGGGCTCGGCCTTCAGGAACTTCATGGTGTCCATGCGCCACGATCCGTTCCTCGGCTTACACATCCGTTTGCCCTGGTACTCCACCTCTGGTGCGCGGAGGGTCCTCGTGTCCACCATCATGAAATCGGCAGCTATCTTGATGCCAAACCTGCTGATGGTCGGATCGTTATTGTGCTGGAAGAACTTAAGCAGGGTCATGATCTTGGCCCTTCGGACGTTCGTCGATGTGGCTGCAAACTTGATCATGTTGGCCACCTGAGTGGCTCCATCCTTGCGCTGCATAAAATAGTATGATTATGAATAATTAAGATTTCAAAAATGTAAAAAAAATTTTTTTTTTAATTTTGGTCTCGTATTTTTGAAAAACAAAACCAATCTTTTTTAGAACGGCTAACTCCAAATATGATACTTTAAGGCTGTATAACATAAGATGATGATGGTAACGTTGATGACTTTTAAATATAAGAATTCATTTAATTGTTTTTACTTTCAGCGGTGATACAGACGTCATTTTGAGAGAAATTAGGTGTCAGATCTTACGTATGTATCAATATAAATTTCCAATGAATTTGGTCCGCATACATTTCTGTGTCATCCCGAGTAATTTTATAAAGTGCCCAAAATAAATATTTCCAGTATCGAAACTTATATTTTCTATCTCGTAATTTATACGTTCTTATTCAGAGCATCTAAATTTATTAGAATATGCCGATAATTGTTTTTAAATATTCCATTTATTGTTATTTAATTATCGGAACTATTTGTATTTGTTAGGACTAAGAAATGTTCAATTTTAGAATCGAACTTACATTTAGTGCCTGACCTCCGTCGATTTGGCAAAGCTCGATGGGCACGTATATTTGCCTGGTCAGGGATCCAACGTGCAGGCAGTGGAGTTGGGGATACTGCAACTTGAAGTTGCGACTCCCGAAATAATCCGCCACCGTGGTGGTTGTGCCCTCGTGCTCGAAGGTCTGCCTGGTGGCCGGACTTCGAGAAAGTCCATTCACTTTGTACACCCTCGAGTCGGCAGCAAAGGATTTGGGTGGTGTGTAAATCACATCGAGACCCTTTAGGAACGACTCAATCAATCGCCTGGAGTTTTCGAGGCTAGTTGTAGTGTTGACTTTCGACTTTAGGACGAATCGCTCCACATATTCGATCATCGGCATGGCAATTGGAAATGACTTGTGCGATATATCTGCATTCAAAAAGGGATGATCACCCAGTACCACGGCCTGATATAGACCGACCAGGGCCTCGTAGCCACCTCCCAGTTCCTGGCGCTCACCGGGCTCAGAGGTCTTGAAGAAGGACCGACCGGACCTAACTGCCTTGTTGTGGCAAGGAGCCGCCATCACAACCTCCAGGCACTGCATCGCCCGCATGGGCTTATCAAAGATCCTCGTCGTTATATAGCTAAAAAGTTTTGTGTCCAAATAAAATAGGTTGTGATTTCATAAAAATTCTTACTTATTCAGCGAGCTAAGATCCACTTCCAAGTCCCCAGTCTCTTTGATTTCCACAGTATAGGTCAAGACACGACCTTGACCATCTTTCACCTGGAACAATCGTAGTCTTTATATAGTTTCAATTTCTTATACGTTTTGTAACCTTTTTTTTATTCTTGAGATCAGAACAACTTAATTTTAAATTCAATTATGTAAAAATATAATATATGTTCTAAAAAATCATAACTTTATGTATTTAAATGGATTCTGTGTACTCCGTAATCGACCCATCTGAAATTTCGCCCCACCCTTCCCTTCATTAAAGTTGGTCACTTAGTCCCCATCTGATTTTTAACAAAGATCTCGGAAATATATTTTAACTTAACATTTTTAAGTTCCATTAATTATACCGATCCCATTAGATATCCAAAACTGCTGCTCATAATTTCTTTACCACTCCTTACTTACAGAGACTTCCGAATTTTTAGAGTCCGTTTTCAGCTTGTCCACCGAATAGCAGGATGCTCTGCCATCAAAGGCGGCAATGGCACCTCCCAGTTGATCCACACGGAACTGCTCGAATGCATGTCTGTAGAACTTCTTTGGGCGCTCTGGTAGGATCTTGACGTCATAGTGGTAAGCTTTCTTCGGCATTTTCGTCATGTCGATCTTTAGATAGTTAACGGTTACTTGGCCGCTTTCACCAATAGTTCCTCGCTTGGTACAGATTCCATGCCCACTATAAGACCCTCCAGAAGATATAGAGGTGGTCGATGGACAACCTGTAAATAAAACGAAAGTTAAACAAACAAGAATATATATGTATATGTCGCTGCAGTCTGCTGTTTTATTCCACACCAATAGGGAATTTCAACTCAGAAGGTTCAAGTTTGTTTTAACCTCTAGTACCATTACGATTTTGAAGTTATTTTTAACAAATCTTTTTACTACATTTATATTTTTGAACTTGTTAGTGGTCGTGTAATTATCTGATCTTAATGGTTACGAACCTTGAGAAATATTCTTAAATATATTCTAAAATTGGTACTCAATTGATAAGTAAAATTATACAATATACTAAATGTCTTTTATATACAGACACCATACCAAACAACCATAAATCCCCAAATAAAGATTCAAAATAAATAATTCGTTTACATTTTTGTTGAAGTTTCATTAATTACCAGAACTGATTGGTTATCGAAAAAAGGTTACGATTTTGTGTTCTTACCGCCAGAGAGAACCAAAATTAACTGATAAGAACTGGGTGCATGTCTAAGTAAAATATGTTGGCAATAAAAATAAATTTTTTTTTTTTTCTTCTGTCCCTGAGCTGAGCTTCAAAACTTAGTCACAAAATAATTGGTTGAATATCATTGTTCACTTATGCATAGATCACATTCACTTTCCTGGTAAGGGCATGGAATCCGCAGCTTTTTCTTCCTTTGTCTTGTATTCTGGGATGGTATTTGGAAAATTCAATAACAAATATAATATTTAAGTAAATGTTCCGACACTGGAAGTTTAAATTCACTCACTGTTAACTTTTCCCATTTTCACAAGATATAAGTTTAATTTAAAATCAAACTCACTAATGTTTCAATACAAAAAACTTTTCAAACAACATTTATTATAATAAATTTAATTTATGTATGTTTAGTACAAACAATTGAAGCGCGAAAGAATTCACAAGCAACGTTGTCGGCAGTCCGAAAAGCACTGACCTACCAGTGGAATTAATATCGAATTTATAAAACCGGCACGGAAGATTTTCTAAGAGAAGAGAGTGGTTCAAAAAATAACGAATCCACGGGGGGATGTAGGGGTTAGTTCCCCTCCCACTTGGCTTATAATGTATATGTAATTTGTATTTTCTTCCAATTTTTTTATGTCTACTCAATAAATTTTATTTGTATCCCCCCAAAAACATTCTGAATCCGCCACTGCGAAACATGTATTTGTATTACCCATGGGGACCATATGTTTGAGGCATTTAAAAACCTAATCCCAGGAGAATTAAAATGCAATCCGATAACGTTTTATTTCCAAAAGAGTTTTTTTTTCAAAAACCCTCCAATCATGTGACGGTTTATTTCCAAAAATGTAAAATTGTGGCGGAAGGAAAAGGTGGCAGACGTGGCTAATGGGCCAATAAGTTTACTGCCCCAACTTTAGGAGGAGAAAGTTTCAGCACTGCTGGCTCAACAAGTTCGCAAAAAGGAACCGTAGGATAAAGACGGTCTACTGACGAATGATACAATAATCAGTTCGTTGTAAAGCTGTATAGGCCCATTTTTAGAGATTTGTTTTAAAAATTGTACACATATCCTTAAATCTAATTTAATTATATATTTTAAATTGTTTTTCTATTAATCAAAGGCATCATAAAAGAGTACGTTACATTTTTGAAAGTGGGAACAGTTCGGTGTCGACTGAGCCCTAGAGATGAGTCAACCGATGTATTTATAATGAGAAAAGCTGGTTCTTGTCTTCCGTAGTTGCATATCTAGCTACAAAAACGGCCATCTCTAGGAAGCACATTTTGCAGTTTATTAGTTTTCCATTAAATTATTGTGATTTTCCAACGTTTTCGCCGGGGAAATGTACGAACTAAAGACCCTGCTGCCGCAATTCGACATCAAGCTGCCCACCTGCATGTATCCCCTGAAGAATGTGAGCCTGGCGGCGGATTCCCTGGCCAGTGGCTCCTCCACATCCACACCCGCGTCCACATCATCATGCGTAAGTTGATTGCCAGGCCAGTCAGAAGTTGGTCGGGATCGCAAGGACAGTTAAAGAAAAACAAATGTCAACAACGCCACATCCATTCCATTCCCGCATGTGTGATCCCTGCCAGAAATCGGAGGCCAGCGGGATCAGCAAAACAAGCCGAAACGCAGCCACATGTGCACTTGATTTGGACTCTTTAGGCCGACAAATACAGCAACTGCTAAAGGTTAAGACCACCAAACTAAAATACGAAATTCTATTTATAAACCACCGACTAACCAAAGAAACAAAAAAACAGAAATATGTATAATGCATCCACGCTCCGTTTTCCGTTGCTTGCTCTGTTCTTGTGGCCTTGGCCAATGGATTGTGGTGGTGTGTCCTCTAAACATATCCTTTTTTTTATCATCTTTCTTGTAGGACGACACGGCTTCGGTGGCTGCCCGCCAAGAAAAGGTTCTCAAGCAGCTGGAGGACCTCAAGGCGCAACTGGGACAGATTCGGGCCGGACTCGGAGTTTGTGGCAAGACCTTCCAGCACACGACTGCCTTCCAGAATGGAGGCTTGAAGGAGGTACGACCTGCCCTTAAAGAAAAGTATCCATTACATTTTAAAGGCAGCTTAATTTTATATCAAGAAGATGATGCGATTTGGTCATATCCTTTCTCATATTCGAGAAGAACACAGTTTCATAACGATTGCGAAATCCTAAAACCTGAAAAGCAGAGTCTTAACGTTTAAAAATTAAGCAAACAATAAATTATACTTCCTAAAAATGTATTTAATATCTCAAAACATAATTGAATACCGCCTTTAAAAATTGCACAGATCATATACAAGTTTTATCATCGAAAATGTTTATCCAATTAGGTTGCCCTGCAAGATGTTGTTATCAATGGACATCCCAACTTCATCCCCTATGCCTTGTTGGCCCTGAAAAACGCTTGGAGGGATCTGTACACAATTGATGTCAAGACCTTCACGCACTCCACTATGGCCGATATTGGTCCAGCCGCTCGGGAATTCGAAGCTAACTTGGCTAAAGTTCCAGTCAACCCGGCTCTGCCGAAGATCAATGTCACGCTCATCTGGAAGAACTGTAAGTATTTTAACAGAGTTCATTTCACTTAAACGTTTTTTATAATGGTTTCTTACAAACTTAAAATATTTTTAAATGCATTATTATTTATATTAATAATAATTTAATAATTAAGCATCTTCCTAACCTCTGCATCAAAATAATAACGATTATGCAACACTCCACAGGCGAACACACTGAAATGATCAGCTCGCCCACGATGTACGTACCCATCTACGGAGAGGTGAACATCATCAGGTACCTGGGTCGAGTGGGTCCCGCAGAATATCGTTACGAGGGCTCTCCCCTGTGCAATGAGATCGACCTCGTCCTGGACATTTGCTACCAACTGCTGCGCTGCAACACTCACAAAACGCAGGTGGCCATGGTGCGCCTGCTGGACAAGCGACTGCAGCAGCAGCAGTATTTCGGCGGCTCCCAGATGTCGGTGGCCGATATCGGTGTCTACAGCTCACTGATACGATTGACCGGAGTAACCGATAAGGACCTGACGCCAGCGCTCCTGGCATGGCGAAAACGGGCGAAGCTCGTGGCTCAAATTTAAAAACCTTAAACGACAAAGGCGAACAAATAAATTATACAAATAAATCTAATCGATTGTAGGTTTTATATTTAATCGATCTATTTTCCATCCACCAGCTCATTTTTCACAATCCCAGCATTTTTAAAGACTATTGGTTTTTTCGGTAATTTTATTTGGCTTATTTATCTTTGTTGCAATTATGTTACTGTTTATACAATGCGGTTCTTCGTTTCTATATTGCAATTGTTGGTTTATAACTTACTCTGTCAATTTTGCACTTAAAAATGGCTTAATCGCTAGGTTCCGTATTTGCTTTTACTCTTGAAATCCATTGATTGTTCACTATGTGTATGTTATGCGGTTGTTCGCCTGATGCTCTGTGTCAGTGTGTACGATAGGATGTCGTGTCTCGAGTTGGGACATTTGTTGTTCGTTTTCGTTCATAAAAATGTGTGTATGTATATTTTTAATCATTAATTTATTCCTAGTACATATGCTGTATATATCGTGTATATTGATAATCAGTTACTGGTTGAGTTCTGTTTGAATCATGTTGTTTCTGTATTATTAGCTGCATAAAAGGATTTGGAGAAGTCCCTGAACTATATTAATTGCATTCCACAGGCTGGAAATTGAGATAGCCCTTCTATACCAATAGCTTATACGAATCATCTTAGTTATCAAAGTAAAATCGAGTAGGTAAAATCAGCTTAGGACCATGGTTTCAACTACCCTCGTATAAACTAGGTAAATAATTGTGTTCTCAGTTGTTCGGTTTAGTTTTGAAACGTTTATAATTAGCATTAATCATAGTAATAATGTTGGAGAAATGAAAAGGCGGTGGCTCGCCGCCTAGGGCAGGAGTGGGAGGAAGAGATGACGCGACCCCGGCCTGGCTGCATTATGTGGTCTCGCCCTTGCCGCTGTCGTCGGCGGACTCGGCATCGTCCGCTCCGGCAGCAGCCGCCTCTCTGCCCAGCCCGTTGTTCTTGCACTTGCTGCTGCCGCCATTATTTTTGCTAATCGACGCCGTGGCACTGTCCTCATCCTCGTCCTCATCCTCATCGTCGTCGTCCTCATCGAAGTCATCATCGGAGGGCAGATCGTCCTCCGTCTCCAGATCGAAGTCATCATCGTAGAAATTGGCATCCAGGCCAGATTCCGTTGTGGGCTTGCGCGTGGGCTTCAGGCAATAGTCCTCGAGTGTCATCGGCACCACAATGCCCTCACGCTTGGCCTCGGCATTGGCCGCCAAGGCCTGTTTGCGTATGATGTTAGGATACTCATTGTCCTTACCCTGAAATTAGTATGTCCTTATTTAAGAGCAAATAAGCGGGGTAAATGCCTAGTATACGGACTTATAGCGAGGCGTTTTTATTTTAATTGTATTGAACTATGGTTTCTTAATAAGGGGGTTCAAAGTTTAATCAATTGCTTTAATTTATAGTCGCTTTCATGATTGCAAGTCCGCATACTAGGCATTTACTTCGACCAGAAGAGCCAGTCTCACCTGTGAGTCCCGCCATCGGCGGTACATGACCGAGGCGTCCACATTGGCCGGCGAGAATGTGTTGGGCTCGTTGAGCAGCGAGATGACCGACAGCAGGATGGTGCGCACGTTCTGCGTGGGATTCCAGCGCTCGCAGGGCAGCTCCCCGCTCTGCGGATCGTCCACCGGCGGATGCAGTATGGATATGCACAGATCCCCGTTCTCGTAGACATTCGGATGCCAGACCTTGGTCAGGAAGCGTATGGATGGCGGTGAGTACGGGTAGTCGTGCGGGAACTTCATGTGCGCCTTGAAGTAGCCGCCCTGATAGAGGGTGTCCGGTGGCCCGAAGATGGCCACCTCCCATTCGAACAGATTGTCGTCGTTGATCAGCTTGACGCGGAATCCCTCCACCGGCTCCTCCTGCAACGACTTGTACTCCATGGCCAGGGCCCGGACCGCCGAGCTGCTGGGCGTGGTCGTGGGGGCGGCTCCGGCGGTAGCCAGGGATCCTGAGCCCGCCATCATTGTGGAGGACGATGTCGCATGCTGCGATGTGGAGGCGGCGGTGGTCATTTGTTCACCCACTTGCAGTTGTCGCCGTGCTCTGTTGGTGAAAAAGTTTTCCGAACGTCGAAACATGTCAGTATTTTGTGTGCTTGTGTTCGTGGGGGGTTAATATGTGTGAGTGGCTTCAAGAATGGCTGCTATTTTTGTGCCCGCGAGTGTGTCTATGTGCAGGGTCAATATCTTGCTGCCTGCTGATGAATTCAAGGTGAGCACGTCACAAAAGCGATGACTGTTCGACTGCTTTGGATACTGGGGGAAACTGCAAAATTTCGTCCAATTTCTGGTCAAGTTGTGTGTGGTACAAAAAAACACTTCTATATTTGACGTTTTCAAAATGGAAAAACTATTTTTGCTCTTGACGTTACTCCTGATTTTGTTGTTGTTACTTTCGCAGCAGACAACACAGAACCAATTACCGATTGCCAGCGGAAATGTGAGTGGAAAAGGGTTATCTACATCCCAGGGACGACTTTAGGATTATACCTACTTGTTTAGCCAAGAGTTTTTGACGATTTTAATGCGTTTTTTATGCTTTTTGTTATTGTTGTTTGACTTGCAACAATTTCACTTTACAAAACAAAAACCAGGGTGGCATTATCTGAACCAGGGGTGGCAACGTTTGCAGCGGACTCTGCCGCTGAGAAGGTGACGCGCATATTCTCAGCGGAGCAGAAAAGCGAGCGAGTGTGACGTCACGAACGGCAGATTTCAAGGGGTTATATTTAAAACGTTGGTAACTAAGAAAACATTTCTTGGTTTACTTGATTTGATAATATATTTTCTGGAAGGAATTACCTTTTTTTTCATTAGAGCTGTTTACCGTGGACAAACAATCTTTTACTTTCTCCTGCTTTTCTTGCTGGTTCTGCTGTACCACCTTCTGGTTCCTGCATGCTGCAATGAGTGATTTCGAATATTTCAAGTTATATTTTTTAAATTTGCGTATTGATCTTTCTAATGCTTGGTAATGATAATGTCTGAAAAGTTATCTTTTGACATGCAGGAATTCCTCATAAATCCTACGCTGATTGCGAATTCAAAAAATGATTCGAAATTGCCTATTTGGGTCAGACCCTCCCTGTTTTGAAACATCGCATTGCTCTCAATGTCAAAATAATATTGATGCTAAAAACATATAAATTTATAGAATACTTAAAAAAAAAAGAATAAAAAATCATTTAATATTTGAGCGTCAAGCAAAAATCAGGTAGCGAAATAAACATTTATTTTAAAACAAGCTAGAATAGCTAAATCAAATTAAAAAAAAAATTTGTTTTTCGTCGCTCTTCTATTGCATTTCTTCTAAGTCCTACGAGCTCTTCTTTTATTTCTTTTAAAACTAAAGTTTCCCCCGCGACTATTCCAACCAAGGACTCCTGTTCATTGCTGGATCTACAGTCCGTTGACTGGAAATCCACTCGGTCCCTATTGATCGGCCGTTCACTTCTAAAAATGTAAATATTAATTTTTTAACTTTTAACGTATAAAAATAAATATTACCATCGTCGAGGATGACAATTTCCATTTTGATGGAACTATGGACTTAAGTAGCATCTGCATTTGGATTTTCCGCCTAATGGCCAGCTTCAAATCCACCCATATGTTTATATACTACTTGATACTTCTTAAGAAAATATACTTACACTAGTAACTAAATTTTTAGCGCGAATTCGACGCTCCAACATGGGTGGAGTACAAAGCACTTATACAATAGCACTTTTACAATAATTTTAAGATAAAAAAGACTTACAATTTATTTAATTCAAAAAAAGAAAAGAACGCTCTATCCTAACAGCACTTAAACAATTGTGATGTGAAAGCCGGTCCTAGGAAAAAATGTATACCACTTCCCGATACCTTCTGACAATCAAAGCCCATTCTGTGTTTCATGAAGAATTGTAAGGGAATGTATGTAAAAGGTTTAAGAATATCCCGCAAATAAATTATATTCGGCTTTCTTTATACAGCTTTAGTTAATTTATTTAACGACTTGGATTATTTAACATATTATTATGTGTAGGGGACTTGGTGAGTAACCATCCGCCAACGCTGCGAAATGTAGAAAATTAAAATACCCATGTCTGTCTTTTTCACGATATAAATATTTTTTTTTAAATATCGTTATATTAATATTTTGATAGGGGAGTGTAGGGTAAGGTGACGAACACCGCGTTACGTCAAAACTTCCAAATAATTGTAGTTGATTTCCCTTATCGTGCCGACAATGTATTTACAATAATATTATTAAGAATTCGTGTACTTTGTTCGTGGGATAATTTTGACTAAAAAGGTGGAGCAAAAATAAAAAAAACGTATTCAATTTATAAGGGTTTCAGAATAAAAAGATTAAAACTTTGGGGAAAACCAGTTTAGACAAATATATGCCCGTATTAATAAGATCTTAAGGAACAATTCATGGTACTTTGTGTTTTATTCTTTTGCTGCTTTTGAAATTGGCACCATCATGTTTCTAACAGTACTTTGTAGGGAATCGTGACAAACATTTGGTCGGGTATGAAGATTTAATTTTTTCCCGGTATCTAAAGACATAGATGTCAAAAACTTTCTGTTTTTAAACCTTTGAAAAATTTTATTTTTTTGAATAGTAACATTCAAAAAACGAATTGTTCATTTCATGTTTTTTGTATCTTACGTTGTTGTCACTACATTTTCTGGCTCTTACGTATGCTGACAAACTATGGTAGCGATATCACGGTACTTATTTTTATTAAAAAATATCGAATATTGATATTTTGGTATATTTTGTCCTTTACGTTTTCTGTCACTTACGTGGTAAAAAAATACTATATTTATTTTTATTCAAAAATATCGATATGTTGGTATTTTGGTATACATACGTTTACGTTAACGTTTTTGCCCACTTACGTGGTGAAAAAATACTACATTTATTTTTATTCAATAATCTCGCTACACTGATATTTTGGTATATTTTCACATTCACACTTACGTTTTCTTACGTTTTTGTGTTAAAAGAGAGAGAGAGTCTCTTCCAAAATCGCCCCAAAATTCGAACGACTCGGTCGAAAAAAGTCGTGCGTCGCACAAAATAATTAAACACTCCCCGAATAACACAACTAAAAAACCGTGCTAACTAACCGAAAGTGGGCGCCGATCGCCGCGTTTTCAATAAAACCAAACGAAATGCAGTAAGCGGGCGTTTAATTCAGCTAAAAGCAAGCAAAGCTCCGAGGCGTTGGCCAAAAAGAAGAAAAGCGAAAAAGAAACGGAGAAACGCAGTTGAAAAGAGAGACGCGAAAGAAGAAGAGAGAGAAAAAAATGCATACAGCAGGAGTGGTGGCGATTTTTTAATCAAAGCAGCAAAGCCAGTGTTTTCCAAGCCAAATTCAAACGGGACTCGAAAATAGAAAACAAAAAAGAGATTCATTATATGTATTCCCGTACAGTGGTGGGCGAGCGAACGAACTAGCATTCCAGTTAAGTGAACATGTTTGTGGCCAGCATAAGACCATAAAATCTGCCGAGCACATTTTCCCCCGCTCGTGAAAAACTCGCATACACACACACACACACACATACACACGTACGCACACGCAGGCAGGCAGGAAAATCGCGTGAAAAATCATGTCCAGCTGGGCAGAACGCGTCCATAGGCGTGCCGCGGATCTGGGCAACGTGGTGACCTCCTGCGGCCACCCCGCCACGGCCCCCTCCTATCCGTACCGCCTGGAAAAGGTCAAATTCGGGGTGCCCCTGGAGGAGGTGTGCAAGCACAACAACAACATTCCCGGGCCACTGCTCGTCCTGATCCTCAAGCTGAACAAGGAGTCGCCGAACCGGCGGGATGTGTTCCGCGCCCCCGGCCACCAGGGGGCCATGAAGAAGCTGATCCACTTCCTGCAGGCGGGCCGCCTGGTCAACGTGGACAACTACTCGGTGTTCACCATCGCCAGTGTCTTGAAGAAGTTCCTGCGCAAGATACCCAATGGGATATTCGGGCGCAGCGGCGAGATGGAGCTGTTCGCCATCAACGATCTGCAAAATGAATCCGAGCAAACGGAGCGGCTGCACAGGTGAGTGGCAAGAAGGTGGGGCAGCCCGAACGATGGGGGTCGCGAAAATAGCAGCGCAGAGTTAGATAATCTAAAATTGAATACAGAGGGTTATTTTCGCATCACAACCATCTCTTGACCACTCTGTATACTGAAAAAAAATTATATATTATTCTTTGGGGGCTCAGGGTTCAAAGCCTAAGATATTTCAGAAGAAATGTTGAGTGCACTTAGCGATGATTCAGTCATTTTTCAAACAGATAAAAAATGGCGTTTATAAAGCTTTTAAGCCCCTTAATCATTCTGAAAATGGTATCGTAAAAAAAAGTAATCGACCTTAGAGACAGTGTACCTATTTTCATCATAGAGTAGAAGGGAAATAGATTCAGAAACATGATTAGGTTTTACTAAAATTAAGAACCAAATTATACTGAAAATTCCATTTTTCATAACATGAATTGAGTTTAAAGTTTAAAGATATCTTCATCTATTTCCTTTAACTATTCATTGAAACAGCATTACATTTCCAATCAAAGAATACAGCAAAATTGAAGAGCTATATAAATGAATCAGAAACTTTGGGTATTCCCTTGATAAGAAAAACGACATTAAAAACCAAAATTTGTGTGTGCGATTAATAAAAAAAAGACTCATTTAAATTTTGGGCGTCAATTGTTTTTATAACGAAAATAAAAAAAGATTAAGGAAACACAAATAACTTCCTTTTGAGAATTTGATTCAGAAAAACTAAGCAACAATTAAGTAAATTTATAAATGACTTGTCGATGATTAAGTTACTTTGGAATTCATTAAAATGTTTGTATCAATTCAAATAAATATTTTATATTTATATAATTTTAATCAGGCAATCAGTCAATATGAGAAGTCCATTGACGTAAAACAAAAATATAGAAAAAAAACTAATAATAACAAGCATTCATCTGAAAAATATTTTAATACTTAAATACAATTAATTTAAATTGCACTTCAAAGTAAATCTTTACGAAAATAAATATTTATGTTTCCCATTAAAACTTATTTGATCAGGCAATTCATAATATTAATCTATATATCATTCAGCACTGAAAAAGATACAAAATAAAAGAACTAATTGTATAATGACTAGATTTCCAAATATTTTTTTAATCAATTTTACCGCAAGTAAATCTTCTGGAAGTCATAATAAATTTGGCAACATCTTGAGAATGAGTAAATTTAGACATTTTATTAGTGCCTTGGTGGAGAACATTACACTTGCCATAAATTCTTAAAAGGCATTTTAATATATTTTCACCAAACATCAAGTGTTCGACAATATCATAAATTAGTAGTAGACAAGTAAGTGCTTTGACTCCTTATACGGGATGGTATTACCAGAAAAGCATTAGTTTATTTATTTATTTATATTCTGGTTTTGGGACAATAAAAAAGCATTAGTATTCAGATGGTGTGCGAGACAACAAGAATTTATACGTTACAGCCTTATGTAGAGGTTGTAGATTCTAAATCTGTATCTCATAGGTTAAGAGCTATGTATACTGTAGCTAGTTCTAAAGAAGAAATGGCTGAATTGGTAATTATATCCCATGTATCCCAAACAAATGAATATAGTCATTGCAAGGGTACTATAGCTACTACTATTTTAACCGCAGGTGTGCGGCACACACAGATTTTTGTTTTTTGTTGTATTGTAACTAGCTTGCGGTAAACTTGCTGAACCGGATCTTTAGATGTATATAGATGTAGATGTAGATTCGGTTGCAGCCCAAGAATCTTCAGGGGGAGTTAATTCACTGGAAAGCCAGCCTCTTGTTGTTTTCATTGCCTCCGCACTTGTTGTTGCTAAATCGCTTTTGTTGTTTTCGTTCTTGTTGTTTCTCGGCACTTGTTGACACATTTGTGTGGATTTTCACCAATTTTCACTTGAGCGTTAAGCGTTCGCTTAACCCTTAGATGTGCCAGGCAATTTACATAATTTGTGCGGCAGCAGAAAAAGCAAGCAGCAAATGTTTGGTTTTATAATAAACAGTATTGCCTGCGGATAGTGGACCAACATATGGTGCTTAAAAATGTTTGTGTGCCATATTTTCAATATTTTAAAAGGTAATTAATAGAATTGGGTATCCGAGATAATTAAGAAATTAATGAAAATGTTAGGAATAATGATTTTGGGCTTGGAATAAGTATTTTTAAGGGCAAATATATATTTTGTGGGGATTTTACCAATTTATTAGTTTACAAAGATGTAATTTGAAGAAAATTAACAGCCATGACTCATTTATCTTCAAACTGCTTTACACATTTCATTGATCTATAGAAAACCCACCAAATAAAACTTATAGAATTGCGACTGTTTATAATGTATTCCGATTTTCGCTGAATCACTGATCAGCCTTGTATGGGTTTCAAGAAACTTGGAAGTGTAAACAGAAGCCGCTGAAAGGGTTAAGCTTGGATTTTGACTCGCTTTTGGCTAACTCTGGGCTGTAGTTGTTTGTTTGTTTGTTTTTCTTTTGTTGCAATCGATTTCTAACCATCTGAATTAGAGCATAAAGCGTGGGCCAACATAGCACAAAGAAACCCACGAACGCAGGCTCAATTAAAAGTAAACGGGGTATTTGACTGCTGCAACTTGCGATTGTTTTCAGCCCGTTCTTCTTTTTTTCTTCACTTATTTTTTATTCGCAAAGTGAGAGGCCTGCAGTAATTAAGAAATCGAACAGTTAGAGCCGATCGATTGCAATCGACAGGCAGAAATGATTTGTCTGTTTGGGCTTCCTCTGGCGGTTGGTTAATTTGCTAAACAATCGCCTGATTGAGATGGATATGGGATAGGAGATGCTTCTGCGTCAGCAGATCAGTTCGGATCAGATCCATTGGTTACATTAATTGCCGAACACTAAACACCGATCGCTAAACGCCGAATGTGCGTGTAAACAAATAACGTCAGCAATAAAACATAAATTTAAATCTTCTGCATGCGTAGAAATCGACCGCCAAATTATTTTCATTTCGCGCAGAGCTCTTCGGGGGAAAACGAGGTGTTTGGAAAACGTAAATTTTCAGTTTGGCAACCTGTGCGCTTGCACACAGCAGAGGTAACGATCCTAGCAGTGTTAGCTAAAAATAATGATTTATAAAAAAAATTATAGGGAATTTCCACGATCTCAGTAGAAGATAAATATATAATAGTTATTTAAATTGTTTCAGAATTTTATATATACAAAAATGCTAAATTTGAGGGGTATTTTCTCCGGCTTTATGAAGCTATTAAATAAATATGAAATAATCTAAAACCGTAAATAAGAAATGCTTGTGATTTGTATTTTAAAAGGCCTACTGCTTTAGATCTTGTTCACGAAGTTTAAAAAAAAAACTGATTGACTTTAAAATGCATAAATTTTCGCCTTAAAATTACAATCAACTCTTAGGGGAAAAGTAGTAGAATTAGATTGCAATAAAAAAAGAAAAAAAATGTAATAAATGTAAAGTCAATTTTTTTTTTCGTTGAATTATATTTTAAAATTCTAAATTACAAAATTAAAAATAACTTTTATAATTTTTTTTCTAAATTTTAAAAATCTTTTTGTACTTAAGTTTCTGAAAAATTATTAAAATTATTATAATTTAATAGCTAAGAAATAGATACAAAAATTCTATAAAATGCCGCTTGGGACTATTTTCCTGACCGCCACTGTGTGTGTGTGTAAACTTTTCAAACCTGTACAATTATATACACATTTATTGTAATTGTTGCTGCCGCGCTGCGTTGGCTACTTTTGTTTATTTGCTTTTTGGGGGCAGGCGCACCAGCAACAGCTACAACAACTACAGGAGCAACAAAAAAAACATTAGGCAATCACAATCGAATCAAATCAAACAAAATGCGCGAAAATAGCGCCTTCGCCAAAGGAAACAACAACTACACCTTTATAAATAGACACGCGTTGGAAACTTTGTATCAATTAAAAGTAAACGCAAAAAAAGAGAGAGGAAGAGAGAGAGATAGTGCTCAATTCCATCAGTTGGCACATAATTTTTTGTTTGTGTACTTTCCAGCTGCTGGCCTTTTTCGTGTTTGTTGTTATTGCAGCGCATCGACGTCATTGTTGCACGTTTTTGCAATAGTCCAAAAATATATACCCACGTACATACGAACATACGTATGTTTAAATCAATTGTGTATTGTTTTCCTTTGCCGTTTTGTTTTGTGTAAATTACAAACACAGCAGAAAGGCGTAAAGAAAAACCAAGAAAGCAGCTGCTGGAAGAGAGTGCGGTTAGTGCTTTCCCTCTCTCTCCCCCCACTCTCTTTCTCCCAATTTCACACTCTTTCCGTTAGTCCTGTTATTCGCAACTTGTTGCCTGGCTGAAAAAGAGCTTTCGCAAGCTTTTTCCAACGCCTGTTGCTTTTTGTTTTACTCCTATTTGTACAGTCGCATCTCTCAAACTCCTGACTTTCAAGTTCTGGAAAAAGATACAACGTTGACCTACTTAGCACTTCAAATGGAAGAGTCTACGCATTTATTTTAAACGATTTATGTTCTTAGGTAAATGTAATTAAGACTTTTAAGTTTTGTAATATTAATGTATACAGTTGCTTGATTCTATAGTCTTCAGTCTATTGATTGTTATTTCATAAAGTTATAATCTCGGTAGGAGCAGTTTAAAACTTAACAAACCAACCGATATTTAAGAAAAATATGAGCCCAACTCGTTTTTCGAGATGCGGGTGTACAGAAAACTAACTTGGGATATGATCTCAGTTATTGCAAGATTAAACCTTTTTAAACCTTACATACCTTTATCACTTAGTTTTAGTTTTAGTATTGTGTGCTAAATACCTTTTAAAGACCTTTCTGTTGTAATAAGTAGTTCGATCTGTAAAGGCCTTTTATGTATTCTTTGCTGGATTTTTAAAAATTTGTTCTTAGAAAAGCCCACTTTAAATATTATTTTTAAGACTTGGAATGTATTATCTTGGTTTTATTTATGTTAAGCACTGCCAACATCTTTCTGGA